TATATAAGTTTTATTGTGTTGAGGTATGTTCCTTCTCTACCCAGTTTTTTTGAGAGTTTTCATTATGATGGGATGTTGAATTGTATCAAGTAATTTTTCAGCATCAATTGAAATGATCATTTGATTTTTGTCCTTCATTCTAATGATTTGATGTATCACGGTGATTCATTTGCATATGTTAAACCATCCTTGCATCCCTGGGATATATCCTACTTGGCCATGATGAATTATCTTTTTAATGTATTGTTGAATTCAGTTTTCTAGTATTTTCTTAAGGTTTTACATCAGTATTCATCAGTGATACTGGCCTATAGTTTTCTTTTGTTTGATCTGCCTTTGTCTGGCTTTGGTATTAGGGTAGTACTGGCCTCGCTGAGTGAGTTTGGAAGTATTCCTTCCTCCTCATTTTTTGTAATCGTTTGAGCAGGATTGGTATTCATTAAATGTTTGGTAGAATTCAACAGTGAAGCCATTGGGTCCCAGGCTTTTCTTTGCTGGGAGACTTTTTTTTTTTTTTTTTAAATCATGGTTTTGGTCTCATTGCTCGTAATTGGTCTGTTCAGGTTTTGAATTTTTTCATGGTTCAGTCTTGGTAGGTTGTATGTGCCTAGGAATTTCACCATTCAAGGTTTTAAAATTTATTGGCATACCATTGCTCATAGTAGCCTCTAATGATCTTTTGAATTTCTGTGGTATCTGTTGTAATGTCCCCTTTTTCATCTTTGATTTCTTATATTTTAGTATTCTCTTTTTTCTTAGTCTGGTTAAAGGTTTGTTAATTTATCTTTTGAAAAAACCAACTTTTAAATTTGATCTTTTGTATTGCTTTCTCTCAATTTCATTTAATTTTGTTCTGATCTTTTTTATTTATTTTTTTTCTACTAATTTTGGTTTTGATTTGCTCTTGCTTTTTTAGCTCTTTAAGATGCATCATTAGTTATTTGAAGTTTTTCTCCTTTTGATGTAGTTGCTTATAGCTGTAAACTTTTCTCTTAGTAGTGCTTTCACTGTATCCCATAGGTTTTGATGTGTTGTGTTTCCACTGTCATTTGTTTCAAGAAATTTTTTAATTTTCTTCTTAATTTCTTCATTGACCCACTGGTCATTCAGGAACTTATTGTTGAATTCCTGTGAGTTTATGTAGTTTCCAAAATTCCTTTTTATTAATTTCTAGTTTCATTCCATTGTGGTCAGAGAAGATACTTGATATAATTTCATTTTATTGTAATGTTTTAAGACTTGTTTTGTAGACCAACGTATAGTCTGTTCTTGAGAATTATCCATATGCTGAGGAGAATAATGTGTATTTTACAGCCATTGGATAAAAAGTTCTGTAAATATCTGTTACGTCCATTTAGTCTATAGTGCAGATTAAGTCCAGTGTTTCTTTGTTCAATTTCTGCCTGGATGATCTGTTCAATGCTGACAGTGGGGTGTTGGCATCTCCAGCTATTATTGTATTGGGGTTGATCTCTCTCTTTAGCTCTAATAATACTTGGTTTATATATCTGGGTTTTCCAGCATTGGTATATATATATTTACAACTGTTATATCCTTTTACTGAATTGACCTCTTTATCATTATATAGTGACCTTCTTTGTATTAAAATCTTTTTTTGTCTGACATAAGTTAGTTATTTCTACTCCATTTTGATTTCCATTTGCATGGAATATCTTTTTGTTCCTTTACTTTCAGTCTATCTATGTCTTTATAGATGAGGTATGTTTCTTGCAGGCAATAAGTCACTGAGTCTTGTTTTCTAAATCCATTCAGTCACCTCATTTCTTCTGTTGGGAGAGTTTAGTCCATTGATGTTCGATGTTATTGTTGATATGTAAGAACTTACTCTAGCCATTTTGTTACTTGTTTTCTGATTGAGTTGTGGTCTTCTCTTTGTTCTTTCCTTTCTTCTTATCTATCTTTTAGGTGAGGGTGATTTTCTCTGGTGGTATGATTTAAATTTCTTGTGTATCCATTGTATGTTTTTTTTATTGAGGTTACCATCAGGATTGCAAATAATATCTTATAACCTGTTATTTTAAACTGATGACAACACTGATTTTACAAACAAACTAACAAGCAAAAAGAAAACGAATAAAAACTCTATACTTCAATTTCATAACCTTTTAAACTTCCTGTTGTTTCTGTTTATATCTTACCGTACTGTCTCTGTCTTGAAAAATTGAAGTTATTAATTTTGGTTGGTTTATCTTTTACTCTTTCTGCTTAAGATATGAATAGTTTACATACTGCAATTACAGTGTTATAAAATTCTGTGTATTTATTACTACAGAGTTTTTCATCCGATGATTTCTTATTGCTCATTCACATCCTTTTCTTTCAGGTTGAAGAGCTCCCTTTAACATTTGTAGTTGGACAGGTCTGGTGTTGATGAAATACCTTAGCTTTTGTTTTTCTGGGAAAATTTTATTCCTCTTTCATGTTTGAAAAATATTTTCACTGGATATGCTATTCTAGGATAAAGCATTTTTTTTTCCTTCAGCACTTTAAATATGTCATACCACTCTCTCCTAGCCTGTAAGGTTTCCACTGAGCAGTCTGCTGCCAGAAGTATTGGAACTGCATTGTGTATTGTTTATTTTTTCCTGCTACTTTTAGGGTTCTTTCTTTATCCTTGACCTTTCAGATTTTGATTTTTAAATGGCATGAAATAGACTTCTTTGGGTTAAATCTGTTTGTTGTTCTACAACCTTCTTATAGTTGAATATTGATATCTTTCTCTAGGTTTGGGAAACTTTCTGTTAGCCCTTTGAATAAACTTTCTACTCCAATCAGTATCCCTCTACCTCCTCTTTAAGGCCAATAATTTAGATTTGCCCTTTAGAGGCACTTTTCTAGATCTCATAGGTGTGCTTCATTCTTTTTTATTCTTTTTTCTTTTTTCTCCTCTGACTGTGTATTTTCAAATAGCCTGTCTTCAAGCTCACTAATTCATTCTTCTGTTTGATCAATTCTGCTCTTAAAGACGCTGATGCATTCTTCAATATATCACTTGAAGTTTCTGCTTAATTTTTAAAATTATTTTAATCTCTTCATTAAATTTATCTAATAGGATTCTGAATTCCTTCTCTGTGTTATATTGAATTTCTCTGAGTTTCCTCAAAACAGCTATTTTGAATTCTCTGAGATGAAGTCTTCCTCTGTCATCAGGCTGGAGTGCAGTGGTGTGATCTTGGTTCACTGCAACCTCTGTCTCCTAGCTTCAAGCGATTCCCCTGCCTCAGCCTCCCAAGTAGCTGGGACTCCAGGTAAGCGCCACCATGGGGTTTCACCATGTTGGCTGGGATGGTCTCGATCTCCTGACCTCATGATCAGCCCGCCTCAGCCTCCCAGAGTGCTGGGATTACAGGCATGAGCCACCACACCTGGTCAGGTCTTATTTTTTTTTTTTTTTTATTCACTCAGCTTCTGTATGTATTTACATTGTGGAGTTTAGTCCATATACATTTAAAATAATTATTATAGGGAAGAATTTACTATTGTTGTCTTGCCCAAGAGCAAAGGCCGTAGCCCCACAGTTGGGAATGTGCTGGGTGATATCTAAAACCAGCTTATCTCAGAGTATCATCCAAGGGCCAAAGTGTGTGTTACCAGGCCACCACTATTAATTATTCAGTGTCCACATGCTCTTTAGTCAGCAGATGATGAATCCTGCCAGGATTGGGTCCGTCTCTTTAAGGGAGTGGGTTCCCTTCTGTCCCAAGGTGTGTCTGGAGATACCATCTGGGAACTGGATGGCCTTGATGTTTATGAATGTTTGTTTGTGTCTGAACATTGAAGAGTTAGATATTTATTATAGCCTTCACAGTCTAGACTTGTTTGTATCTGTCCATCTTGTGAAGGCTTTCTCTTGCTCAGGCTGGAGGGCAGTGGAGTGACCTCAGCTCACTGCAGCCTCTGCCTCCTGGCTTCAAGTGATTTTCCCACCTCAGCCACCCCAGTAACTGGGACTACAGGTACACACCACACCCAGGTAATATTTATATATTTTTTTGTTAGAGACATCACCATGTTGGCCAGGCTTGTCTCGAACTCCTGACCTCTGGTGATCCACCTGCCTCGGCCTCCCAAAGTGCTGGGATTACAGATGTGAGGCACTGCGCCCTTGCCCTGTTTCTTTATTGATCTTCTATCTATATGTGTATCCATTATTAGAAGTGGGTATTGAAGTCTACTATTACTATATTTCTCCCTTCATCTCTCTCAATGTTTATTTTATATATTTAGGTGCTCTGAGATGGGATTTATATATATTTATAATTGTTATGACTTTCTGGTAGATTGATCTTTTATTAGTATGTACACAACAAATTAATTGTAGAATGAAATAACCAAATGAATAAACATTTCAAATAATGTATCTGTAAATATAAAGATGGGAATTTCCCATTCATGATTAAATACATGGTTTTGGAGCCAAGAGAGAGGTCTGGGCTGTAGAGATTAATTTAAAATTTAATTGCATGTAAGTGGTAATAAAGGCTATAAGATTTCCCAGAAAATGCTTATGGGGAGAGAGAAAAGGGAAGAGGACAAAAGCCTTGGGAACATCCACATTTGTTGAACTGAAGCAGATAGAGGATGAGCCATCAAAGTAAACTGAGACTGACTACAGCATCCACACATGCAGACTTTCCTTGGCAGTCCTAATTTTAATATTTGGCCCCTTAGGCTAACAGATTTCACAACCACATATATTGATCAGAAAATCAGAAAACATATATGAATCACATATGTTATGGCATCTATGAAGGAACTGAATGTAAATCCAATAATTATGTAATTAATTAATAATGATACAACAATAATTGGTACTTATGACTATATAATAATTATTAATAAACTTGACTTTTTACCAATAACTGAATTAAGTGTGTTTTAAATATGGCTAATATACCTATAATTTTTAATTTATAATCTTTTTAAACTATGCTTTTAAAAATTTGCTTAAATGTAAATGTTTATTTTTTCTTTTTTAGCCTGAAAGTACTTTACTAATTTTCTGTGAAAATGGCTATATTCTTGAAGCTCCACTTCCAACCATAAAGCAAGAAGTAGATGATCGTGATGTAGTTTCCTATGAAATCAAAGATATGTGCATAAAATGTTTTCATTTCTCAAGTGTCAAATCTAAGATTCTGGTATGAAGTATTCCTGAAAAATTATCTTCTAATAATTTCCTTTCCTTCTAAGAGAATACAAAAAAGAATAAAACATAGGCCCTGAAATTAAGGAGTTTATAATCTGGCAGGAAAACAGCTATTAGAAGGAGTTTATAATCTGGCAGGAAAACAGCTATTAGAATAGATACTGAAATCTAAATGTGCAGAAGGAAATTTTAGAGGTGTGCAGAGGAAAAGAGAGAGGATTCTGATAGAGGGATAGGAAGAAGTCAAAGATGACTGCATGGAGGTGACGTTTAGTACCTAAAGAATAGGAGGGGCCAGGCACATTGGCTCATGCCTGTAATCCCGGCACTTTGGGAGGCTGAGATGGAAGGATCACTTGAGTCTGGGAGTTTATGGCTGCAGTGAGCTATGATTGCACAACTGTACTTCAGCCCGGGTGACAGAGTGAGACACTGTCTTAAGAAAAAAAAAAAGGGGGGGGGAGGAATTTTGAGAGTTGAAAATAGGATGATGGCAATAAAAGTTGGAAGAACATCCCAAGAGAATGCAGAGTTTTGAATGTTTTCAAGAAATGAGGAATAGATCAGTAAAATAGAGAGAGGCAATTTGTGGAGGAGTGTTGCAGGAGTCTGTGATCAATGCATGGGGTTCCTTAAATGCCAGCCAAGACATTTCATTTTAGACCATTGGGATCCATTGTGAGTTTGTGAGGAGGGGATTCATGTGATGATATAAAAGCTAGAAATATAATTCTGAGAGTTGAGCAGAATGAAGTGGTAAAAAGTAGGAGGTAGAAATACCAGTGTCAGAGGGCTTTTGCAAAGGACAGTTGATGGATGATGAAGGCCAAACTCAAAGTATTACTATAATTGGAAATAATTTTCCTTGTGGACTGTTTCAGTCTACCTAATTCTTGGGTTATCAGTGATAGGCTCTAAGAGAAGCTGTATTTAGCTTCTCTATTAGGAAAAAAATGACCAAATAATTTCTGTACAACCAAGACTGATGGGGGCAAAACAAAAATGAGTCATTCCAATGCTTTAAAAGTTTTAATGATAAAATATATTCTGATATTGGTGACTATTTTTAAACATTATCTGTTAACAGAGCTGTGAGTTTCTCTAAGAACTGTATCTTCTTTCTGTTTTTTTGGTCATCCCCAGTGGTGTAAATGAACAAATGAGTCATAGTTGTTTTTATACCTACTTAATGTTTCTTTTAAAAGAGATTAATAGAAATTGAAAAGAGAGAGAAGCAAAAGAAGTTGAAGGAGAAAATAAGGGAAGAAAGGAGGAAAAAGCTAGCAGCAGAGATGGGAGAAGATGGAGAAAAAGAATTTCAGGAAGAGAAAGAGGAGGAGGAGGACGAGGAGGAGGAAGAAGAGCCATTACCTGAAATCTTTATTCCATTAACCCCCTCTCGCATCCTCTGTGGATTTTACTCAGAGCCAGGGAAGTTCTGGGTTTCTTTGGTAAGTAGCAATAAAAATTTTTACCTTAAACATATTTCAGTATAGTTTATAGTTATTATAACTTCATTCTTTCTTACTCTTATGTTAAGATTTCATTTATTAACTACTGTTGAAGATGCAAGTTTTGGTGAATGAATGTGGGGTATAGTTGTTTTTAAATATTCTTAACATCTCTTTTATATGTCTACTTGTGAAGACAATTGTGCAGATAAATCTCTAGTTTTTAGATTATCTGTTTTCTTCTTGTCAGTCATAACTTGTTCCAGGGAGGTCAAAGTAGAGAAGGATCAAGTGTGAAAGAAAAAAGGCCAGGGAGGTTTCTAGCCAAGACTGTCGTTTTTTAATTTTGAAAAGAATAGCTTTCATGGCAGTACTATCCAGTATACTTTTGCTGCATCTCATTACCTACAACTGTGCTGTGTGGCCATGTGCAAGTCTAGGAAGATAAGTGTTTTTAGTTGGTCTAATTGCCACCCTGAGCAAAACCAGAACTTGGCTAATAAGGAAGAAAGGAAAAATGGATATTTGGAAGAAAGTACCAGGGCCTATCATAGTGCTGCAGGAGTACATCCTTCACTTACAGATTTTTTTTTACTATTTCCTTAAAATACTTTATTGATATACTACAAAGCAAGATTTCCTTCATTATAATTTTGTCACAATTTTCAGTTCCATCCACCAAAAAAAAATTCATAAATATGTCTGTGGAAGATCATTACTAATTCACCACTGGTCCTACCAGGACACTGACTAGCCAAGGACTGTTGCTGTAAGGAGTGATGAGTGTTGACTTCTCCCCTCCTCAACTTTTCCTAGAAATATATCTTTTGTAGCAACTTCTAAGGAGGTGAGCAGAAAGAAGGATGGAAAAAAGCATTGGCGGCATTATAGGACATCATTTATTAGTTCCTCTCCCCTTTCTGCCTTTCTTCTGTGTTTTATAAAACAATTACAAATGACTACTATTGTATGGAGTTCAGAGGATAAAGGGATAAAGAAAATGTTTCCTCCCTTCAGGAAGTCTTCATTTGAGGAAAAGAGGTGCAGAAACAATTAACTGTAATACAGTGCAATAGATTTCCAGTGCCCTGGAAATATAGATGCAAAAGTTACTCATTATTTAGCAAACATATTTAAGCTAAGGGCAGAGCTGCATGCCTGTAGTCCCAGCTACTCAAGAGGCTAAGGTGGGAGGACTGCTTGAGCCCAGGAGTTCGCGATCAGCCTGTATAATATAGTGAGACCCCATCTCAACAGCAACAATAAAACATGAACAGAAAACCCCACCTATATTAAGTGCTTGCTCTTAGGGTTTCCAGGTAAAAGTACATAGTACATGCTTAGACTAAAAATTATTTATTGTTTATTTGAAATTTGAATTTAATAGGTGTCCTTTATTTTCATTCGCTGAATACAACAACCTACTTATTTTGTACCAGGTACATTTCTAAGTAATTTACTTAACCAACTATAAAATAAGTGCTGTTATTTTTTGCATTTTATATATGAAGGAACCAAGGCATGGAAATGTTAGGTGTTTTATCCAAGGCCATGTAAGTACTGAGAGGTGAAATGAGGATCTGGACTCAGGCAATCTGGGTCCAGAGTTCAGGTTCTTACCCATTAAGCTACATGGTGAACAAGGTTAAAACATAGTTAAGAGAGGTGGCAAAGCTTGAGCCAACAATCTGACAACTCTGCCTGCAGCCAAACAGATGCCGAAGAAAACCCAGTCTCATTTTGAAGTAATGACTGCAGTTCTCAAATCGATAGTCACACTGCAGGCCAATTCTACTGCCCAGCCATATTCACTTTCCAAATTATCACTTTAAGTCTTTCTTCTTCCCTCAAACGTTTTGTACCTTCTCTTACTCTTCACTGATAACCTTATCTCACATTTCACAGAGAGAATAAAAGCAATCAGATGGAATTTGCTTTTCTTGTCTCAATTAGATGTAGCACCCTATAGGGAATCTATATACCTTTTGTCTGCTTTGTCTACTGTTATAATTGGAGAACAGTCCCTTGCAACTCTCCAAGGATACTGTTCCCAGTGACCCCTCAATCCCATCCCTTGTAATTTGCTCAAAACTTTTGCTCCTGAGATAAACGTCTTAGTTTCCTGTATCGTCAGTTTCTGTCTTTTCTATGTAGTTCTTATCATAAGCATAAAAACATGCTCTAGTACTAATCTTAATTTTCTTTCCTTAACCTCTCTTTTCTTTTCTCCCACTGCTCTGTTACAGAAAAAGTTATTGAAAGAATCATCTGTAATCACTGGCTTAACCTCTTCACCTCCTATTTGATCTTCAATCCTTCAGTTGGGCTTCTATCTCCATCACTTCACTAATGATGTATATACTGACAGACTCAGAGGTCAATTCTCTGTCCATTTGACTTTTTGGAAGCATTTAACAGAGTTGACCCCTCATACTTCTCAAATGCTTTCTTCCTTGGCTTCTAAGACATTACACTCTTCTGGCCACTCCTTTTCACCCTCTTTTGCTGGCTTCTCATTTACAGAACAAGCTTTGAAGTTTGAAATACTCCAGAGAGTGGCCTTGGGCCCTCTCTTGCTAAGGTAACTTTATCCAGTCTCATGGCTTTAAATATTACTTGTCTTCCTGTGAATCTCAAATATTTATCTCTAGTCTTGACCTCTATATCCAGCTTGGCAACACTCGTTGGCACCTCAAAATTAACCTGTCCAAGACATTACTTTTAAACCATACTTGCCCCATACAAACCTGCTCCATCTCCATCTCAGTGAATGAGACAATCATCCACTTAGTTACTATGCCAAAACCTTGAGTTATTAAGGATTCTCCTCTTTCCTTTACCATTTGATACACTTATATCAAAAGTAGGTCTCTCGCAAACAGTATATGTTTAGGCTTAAAAGAATCCTGTAGGGATAATCTTTGTCTTTTAAAAAAGTACTATTGTTCATTTATATTTAATGTAATTACTGATATATTTTAGTTTAAATCTAGTATCTCATTTCTATTTGTCACACTCATTCTAAATTTCTTTTCTTTCCCTTTTTTACCTTCTATTATTAGGTACTTTTTCCCATAATTTTATTCCTCTACTAGATTATGAGGTATACATTCTGTTACTATTCTTTTAGAGGTGATTTCATTTACTTATTTATTTGTATTTTTGAGACACAGTCTCACTCTGTTGTGCAGGCTAGAGTGCAGTGGTGCCATCTCAGCTCACTGCAGCCTCTACTTTTCAGGTTCAAGTGATTCTCCTGCCTTAGCCTCCCGAGTAGCAGTGATTACAGGTGTGTGCCACCATGCATGGTTAATTTCTGTATTTTTAGTAGAGACGGGTTTCACCATGTTGGCCAGGCTGATCTCAAACTCCTGACCTCAAGTGATCTGCCTGTCTTCGTCTCCCAAAATGCTGGGATTACAGGTGAGAGCCACAGTGCCCAGCCTAGAGGTGATTTTAAAGAGCATAATATGGATTTGACTTAATTAATTTTAGTATAAATTTTTATTAGTTCCAGAGAAAATTACCTTAGAATACTTTAACATCATGTATCCTCTTCACTCTACCCCCACACCACCTAAGAATGCATTTTGGTATTGTTTTTTATCATTAATATCATCCTGGTTTATCCTTCTTTTTTTTTTTTTTTTTTGGATCTTTGTGCAGTCTTTATTTCCAATATTTGTTAAAATATTATTGCTCTTCCTCAGGACAAGAACAAAGATCATCTTCTGAAAAAGCTTAGGAACTATGTGCAGAAATTTACAGAACAGAGGCTATACTTTAACTTAGCCTGTCTGCTGATTAGAGAAGGGAATTCTGAGTGGACTCAAGGAACAAAAGGAAACTAGTCAGGGATGGGGAAGATGCTCATCTGAATCAAACTTCAGCTGCCATTAGGGTATATCTTGTGATCACAGATTGTAGGTTCTGTTGTCGGAAGGTTCAGAAATAGCACAAGATTCCATTTGTCTACTTGGCTACACCCCTGGCTGAATGAGGTTAATGGGACTCAAGTTCCTGGCAAGCCAAACTGCAGCAAAGAGTTCCAAATTGAGGATCAAATTCCTCCTCTATCATTCCTCTTGGTGGCAAACTGGTAGATGCCCTGAAGCTAGTTTCCCGTATTACATGGTATTTCGAGAGCTTTATTTGCTGAGCCAGATGCACTCATGAGGACCCTACTGGAAGCCAGAGTAATACCTTTTTGCCTTTCCCTTACTCTTAATTACTTTCTACATCTTTGTAATTTGTACCTTTTGCCTAAACAATAGACTAATAATTTTTTTTTTTAAGTGGAGGCTTGCTGGTGACTAATTCTCTGCCTTTGGCTTTTTGGGCTTTGTTTTGCTTTGTTTTAAAGTGTGTTTCTTTTGCTTTTATTTTTGCTAAATATTTTTCCAAAACTTTTACGATATTGTTTTATCATCATCTTTCATTTAGCCAGCAATGTCATGTTTTTCTTCTTTTTTTGGAGGCTAATGTATCTATTTATTGTATATTAATTACTGCTTTTGGATCTAGTTAATGTGTCTTACTTTAAGATTTTTGTTCTGTTAGCAGTTCGTAGCACTCTAAATTTCAACATCTCTCTTCAGTTTTGGAAAATTCTTAGCCATTGTCTACCACAATGTTGCTTCTGGCCTATCTTTTCACACTCTCATTCTGGGATCCCAACTTTATGTGTATTACATCCTTTTCATTATGTTCCATATGTATCTTACATCATCAAAAGAATTTTCCATCCTTTTTGTCTCTCTCCATGCTTTCACTTATTTTTTCAGATCTCTGTCCAGCTTCGTAACTGTCTTTTATTTTAAACTTTGTATTTCCAATTGTTTTTTATTGAAGTAAAAGATATTTAACATAAATTTTACCATCTTAACCATTTTTAAGTGTACAGCTCAGTAGCAGTAAACATATTCACAATGTTGTGAAGTCATCACTAATATCTGTCTCCACCATCACCCTCATCCTGTAACACAGAAACTCCCATAATCATCAGATGAGAACTCCTGATTCTTCCCTTTACCCAGCCCCTGGCAACCATCACTCTAGTTTCTTTCTCTGATTTTGACTACTGTAAGTACCTCAAATAAGTGAAATTATATAATATCTGTCTCTTTTTGACTGACTTGTGTCACTTGGGATAATTTCCCCAAGTTTCATCCATGATGCAGCATATGTCAGAATTTCCTTTCTTTTCAAGGCTGAATAATACTCCATTTTAGGTGTGTACCATATTTTGCTTATATACTCAGTCACCAATAGACACTTGGGGCCAGGCTTGGTAGCTCGTGCCTGTAATCTTAGCACTTAGCGATTTCCAAGGTGAGTGGGTCACTTGAGGCCAGGAATTCGGGACCAGCCTGGCCAACATGGTGAAACCCTGTCTCTAACCTGCAATCCCAGCTACTCAGGAAGCTGAGAAGACGGGAGAATCACTTGAACTTCAGAGGTGGAAGTTGCAGTGAGCCCAGATCACACCACTGCATTCCAGTCTGGGTGACAGAGTGAGACCCCATCTCAAAAAAAAAAAAAAAAAGACACTGGATTGCTCCTACTTTTTGGCTATTGTGAAAAATGCTGCTATGAATGAGGTAGGTGTTCAAGTATCTCTTTGAGACCCTGCTTGAACCCAGGGGATGATTATTTCTTTCTACGTAGGTCCATGAGACTGCAGATAGCTCCGTCCAGCTTTGTAGCCTCTCAGCTGCCACTTTAAGAACTGACAGTTGCTCCAGGGAGTAAAGCAGTGTCAAATGCCAAGCTCACTTCTGGCTTTCCTTCGTTTTTGGATCTTGCTATTTTGATAGCTTTCCATTTAGAAACTTTGTTCTGTTCATATCCATTGTCCACTTTTTGATGGGGTTGTTTTTTTTTTTTTGTAAATTTGTTTAAGTTCTTTGTAGATTCTGGATATTAGCTCTTAGGTAGATTGCAAAAATTTTTTCTCATTCTGTTGGTTGCCGATTCACTCTAATGATTGTTTCTTTTGCTGTGCAGAAGCTCTTAAGTTTAATTAGATCCCATTTGTCTATTTTGGCTTCTGTTGCCATTGCTTTTGGTGTTATAGTCATGGAGTCCTTGCCTATGCCTATGTTCTGAATGGTATTGACTAGGTTTTCTTCTAGGGTTTTTATGGTGTTAGGTCTATGGTGTTAAGTTTAAATCTTTAATCCATCTGGGGTTAATTTTTGTATAAGGTGTAAGGAAGGGGTCCAGTTTTAGCTTTCTGCGCATGGCTAGCCAGTTTTCCCAACACCATTTATTAAACAGGGACTCCTTTCCCCATTGCTTGTTTTTGTCAGGTTTGTCAAAGATGAGATGGTGGGAGATGTTACTTCTGAGGCCTCTGTTCTGATCCATTGGTCTATATCTCTGTTTTGGTGCCAGTACCATGCTGTATTGATTACTTTAGCCTTGTAGTATAGTTTGAAGTCAGGTATCGTGATGCCTCCAGCTTTGCTTTTTTTTTTTTTTTTTTCCGCTTAGGATTGTCTTGGCTATGAGGGCTCTTTTTTGGTCCATTATGAAGTTTAAGGTGGTTTTTCCAGTTCTGTGAAGAAGGTCAATGGTAGCTTGATGGGGATAGCATGTAATTTATAAATTACTTTAGGCAGTATGGCCATTTTCATGATGTTGATTCTTCCTAACCATGAGCATGGAATGTTTTCAAATGAAGACATTTATGCAACCAACAAACATATGAAAAAATGCTCATCATCACTTGTCATTAGAGAAATGCAAATCAAAACCACATTGAGATACAGTCTCATGCCAGTTAGAATGGCAATCATTAAAAAATCAGGAGACAAAAGATGCCGGAGAGGATGTGGAGAAATAGGAACACGTTTACACTGTTGATGAGAGTATAAATTAGTTCAACCATTGTGGAATACAGCGTGGAGATTCGTCAAGGATCTAGAAATAGAAATACCATTTTACCCAGCGATTCTTTGGTATATACCCAAAGGATTATAAATCGTTCTATTATAAAGACACATGCACATGTCTGTTCATTGTGGCACTGTTCACAATAGCAAAGACTTGGAACCTACCCAGATGCCCATCAACAATAGACTGGATAAAGAAAATGTGACACATATACACCATGGAATACTATGCAGCCATAAAAAAGAATGAGTTCATGTCCTTTGCAGGGACATAGAGGAAGCTGAAAACCATCATTCTCAGCAAACTGACACAAGAACAGAAAATCAAACACCACATGTTATCACTTACAACTGGGTGTTCAACAATGAGAACACATGGACACAGGGAGGGGAACGTCACACACCAGGGCCTGTTGTGGGGTGAGGGGCCTAGGGGACGGATAACAGAAGAAATACCTAATATAGGTGATGGGGGTATGGATGCAGAAAACACCATGGCATGTGTATACCTATGTAACAATCCTGCATGATCTGCACATGTACCCCAGAACTTAAAGTATAATATAAAAAAAAAATTTTAGTTGTTATAATATGTGCTTTTTAAAGAATTTTTACATGAATATATATCAATATTAGAACTGTATGATTCAAAATTTGAATCAGTAAATACATGGTTAAAATTGGTTATTTGGATAGGATAAATGTCTTTATGCTGTCTAGAAAATGTATTATATTATTTGTAACTACCATGATATATCAATATTACAAATCTAGTTATTTATTCATATTATAGCAGATAATGCTGTTAGTAACCCAAAATGTTACTTTGTTTATTGCCTTGCATTAAAAAAAGCTTAAAATTTTATATAAACAAAATTGAAAATGTGATTAACCCTCTGCAAACTCTCTGTTGATGGTTATATATTTAAACTGGTCATTAATCCTGAACCATTAGATTGTGAAGTGACTGGACAATAAAAATACCCAAGGTGAAAAAATAAAGAAAATTTGTTCTGGTTGTTCTCAGTGGGAGAGCTTAGCTGAAACAATCAAGTATGACATTGTCAAAAGTGAAAACTTTAGTAATTTGATTTTCAGAGGTGATCATATTGTTACCTTCTCTTTATTATTTATTTATTTATTGTTCATAAAGTTGTTCTGACCTTCAATTTGTTTCCTGTAATAAGGAATCTCAGTAATAAGGACATTAGCGTTGGAGCAGTATAGCTCTTCCAGTTGGTCATTTGTCTTCTCACTACGTGGATAAATTTTTCAGAAATAGCCCTTCCTGGAAAATTAACAGTGTTTACAGTTTCCTTAGACTGAAAACTAGCTGTAAAAACAAGGAACTGCAAAACCCTATTATTTGTTACTGCTTATGCAAATTCTGCATAATAATGCTTGAAGAAATAAAATGAAATTCTGTAGGGAGTCAGAGCTGATCTCTCTCTTATAATGATTTTTAAGAGGAAACAAATCATCATATGGTTTTTATTATTATAATTATATAGTTGTGTATAAATGGATAAAGGAGATGATTTATAGAAATAAATCTATAATAGAAATTATGTAGAAATACATGTTTGAAAACATCTATTTTTTATTTTCGAATTTGAAATAATCAAAAAATTCTTATGCATTTACGTGTGTTATATTCAAGTACCACCTTCTATGTTACTTATCTCTTTTCCAGGGTGACTATGATTCTGGTTTTCTGTATCACTGTGAGTTCCCCCCTTGTGATAAAAGCAATAATTTCGAAGAACAAAAAGATGAACCTTTTGATGTCCATTATCTTGAGAATACAGATGATAATCCCATCCAAACTATCACTTTCAAGTGAGTGGTATTTCAAAGAGCTTTAAAAAACCATATCCCATTGGTGTCTATGCTTTTGTCCATCATGGATATTGTCAGTTTTTAGAGATCCATCCAAATGAAGGAGTATTCAAAAAATATTTGGTTAAATAAATCAAATGAATAAATAGGATCAAAGCTAATCCTGAAATTATATTTCTCTATTCTTTTGTATTAGTATGTTAGGGCTACCACAATAAGACATCACAGACTAGGTCGCTTAAACAGCAGAAATTTTTTTTTCTCACAGTTCTGGAGGCTAAAGTTCCAAGATCAAGATGTCAGCAGTTTGGTTTCTCTTGAGGCCTCTCTCCTTGACTTACAGATGACTGCCTTCTTGCACAGTCTTTTCTCTGGGTGTGTGCTATCCTGATGTCTGTCTGTGTGTCCTAATCTCTCCTTATCAGGACACCAGGCGGACTGGATTAGAACCTACCCTAGTATTCTCATTTTAACTTAATTACCTCTTTAAAGGCCCTATCTCAATGCAGTTACTTCCCAAAGTATTAGGGGTTACCGCTTCAATATATTAATTTTGGGGCTGTACAACTCAGTCCATAACAAGTTTGTTATTAATTTAGCTATTTGTTAATTGACTTGAAATTAAGCATTATTTTCAGATTAATGGGAAGAATAATTTACGTTTTTTGTTTCATAGCATTAACAAAATTATGATGTTTTGTGGAATGAAAAATGGAGCAATTCGAGTCTATGTCCTAGATGAGAATGATCCTTCATTGACCAGTTTGGTGAACTATTGGCACCTCAATATGCATGACAATAACTATGGATGTATTAAAAGTATTGCTAGTAGCTTTGATGATCGTTTCTTGGTGACTACTGGCGGAGATGGTAATATCTTTGTTTTCAACATTTTTTCTGAATTTATGCTAAGGAAAGACATCAAGGCCAAGGTGCCATCTCCCAGGGTATGTAATTAATTAACCAGTTAAGTAATAACAAACTTTATTCAAAATGCTAATATCAAAATGGTTCATATTCTTTATAAATTTAAATTTATTTAGACACATTCACCTTATAGTGATTATAGTCTAATCTTTCTGCTAGTATTATAATTTGACTTTCTGGTGCTCCTATATAAAATATTAAAGGTATTACATTTCCCTTATTATTAAAGATTGGAATTCCCCAAATTAGAAAAGCATATGTCCATTTTTCTATGTAGTCAAAAGTTTGTATTAAAAAAAAACTTTTTTTAAAATTTTTTTTTCAAAGTTCACAGTTTTTTCAGATTGTATTTTGCTTTCCATTTATTCATTGACTCAATGTAAGGGCTAATATAGGATGTATGCCATGAAGTGTGCTTTTGACGGGGGTTGCAAAAATATCTTTCTTTAGTATTAGAATGTGACAGTGTGGGTCATGATTGAGTATAAAGTATTTTTTTAAAAGCAGAACTAGATTGTTGGCTTTGTGATGAAGTTTGGGGGTTCAGATCCCCAAATTATGTCCTTTTCTGGTCATATTACTTGAATTTCGTATATTATTAAGGCAGTTCCTTCAGATAAAATCAGTAGTTAATAACCATTAGAATTGCTCCTAAGGAGAAAGGAGTTGTATTAAAAAGATTACAACTAAAATTCCTATGAACATATTGGCTTCCCATTTAGCCAGTAGCCTACTTCAAAGAACACATAAAGAATGTAGGGAAGATATGAGTAGGTCAATTTGCATTTCTCCTAATAGCAAAATTTGGAGTATGGGCTGCTGTTTAGAGAGGAAAAAGGAATTACAGGAAAGAAAGTATATAAACAAGAAGAAAATGTGTTTCTACTTTGTGCCAGCTCTCTCTGTAGAAACCCATATTGGGTAGAAAAATACTATTCCACATTTGAATAATCATGTTCTTTTATTTATGGCTGCAATCAATATTTCTGAAATCACTGAAGCAGACATTGCTTTTAAGAAGGAAAAATTAGGCTGGGACAAGTGTCTCATGCCTGTGGTCCCAGCACTGTGGGAGGCAAAGGCAGGAGGATCATGAGGTTAGATTGAGACCATCCTGGGTAACATGATGAAACCTCGTCTCTACTAAGAATACAAAAAATTAGCCGGGCATGGTGGCACGCACCTATAGTCCCAGCTACTCTGGAGGCCAAGGCAGGAGAATTGCTTGAACCCGGAAGGTGGAAGTTGGAGTGAGCCGAGATTGTGCCACTGCACTCCAGCCTGGGTGACAGAGAGAGACTCCATCTCAAAAGAAAAAAAAAAAAAAAAAAAAAAAAAAACAGGAAAAAATTAGAAAGAATTTTTTAAAAAACAACTAAGCTCTGCACTGGTCTGAGGTTCTTACCTTGCTGTACTTTGGAATCAGCTGGGGAGCCCTAGAAGTACAGATGCCGGAGCCTACCCAAGAACAATTAAATTAGAATATCTGAAGGTGAGGTCCAGGCGTCAGTATTTTATAAACTATCCTTCATGTGATTCTAATGTGCAGCTAGGATTGAGATCCACTGGCATGTATTTTGGAACTTTGTGTAACTCAACCTTCTTGGAAACAACTGTGGCCAGGAGACAATTGTCCCAGTATCAGCATCAAATCCTAGAAGTCATACTGATATTAGAGAACCAGGGGACTTAGCTCTGGCCAATAAAAGAATAAAAAATAAATAAAATTCAGTAAATTTGTATCCTAAGTGATTAATAGTCAGTACAATTTATTAGCCATTATTGTCTCATATTGATCATGTTTTCTGACTTTGCTTTTATTAAAGTCGTAAACCTTGACTTTCATAAAAATACGTAGATTTACATTTCATATCTTTATCAAAAACAACTTTATCAAGAATATTTATTTACAACAAATGACAGCAAAATAGAGACCTGTCTTCTCTGAAAAAGAGAATAAAGTTTAATTTTATTTATGAACGTACTAGTTAGCCAACTAAGGCTATTTTGTTCCCTGGGTTATAATTCTTCTTTAACATCATGGACAAAGACATTTTACAGCCCAGCACCTGAATGAACAGAGTACTTTTAAGTGATTTGCTTCCTAGTTCCCTCAAATTTAGACTGATTTCCTTTCTGAAGGGAGATTTGTATTTCTGATTTCATATCTTTCTCTTTCAAGGAGGGTGATTATATTGTTCTTTGCATTTTCTACTTTGTGTCTTCCTTTGAGAAGGTGATATAAAATGCTTATTTAAAATTAAAAATATATATGTTGAAATATTTCTAGGGCACATTGAGGTATTTGCATGAATGATACCTGTGATAAAGGGATATACTGAAAAACAGTATTTTGAATTAAATGATCTAGACTGTTTTGAGAATTCTGTGTTAATAGCATTGAACATTAGTAATTTACATTTTGAGGGGAAATTATGGGGATTTTAACATTTTGCAGACATGTGATTAGGTTAAGACTTTTCCTACATACTCCTTCAAATCAGAAATGAGTAAGTTTAGTAAACTGCAATTTTTTCTTAGGTTTTTTTTTGTGAAACTACTTTTCAGACCTATAGTTATTAGAAACTGGCAGGAAAAAAACCCAACCAATTTGTGCTTTTAATTTACTTCTTCCTAGATATTTTAGGGAAAATGCTATGCAGTTTTAAAGGGCTAACCTTTTACTTCCCTTCTTATAGTTTGGAATTGAAACAGAGCCAATTCCAGAAGACATTGAAGATCCCAAAGCCTACAGGTATGGAACTTTTTGATAAATACTGACTAGGCCTGAGATTTTGCAAAACAAACAGTGCAGAAGTTGGCCTAGCTTAATGAATTTTCAAATTATTGAATACTAATTTTCTCTTTCTTTGCTGTTTCTATGTTATAACCTCTTACCGTTTTAAATTTCCGTTTTCAGTATTGAGAATGCTAGGAGAAAAAGAGAACATGACAAATTAATGAAAGAAGTGGAAGAAATAAAGGCAAGGAAGAGAGAGCAAATCAAAGCTTTGAGGAATGAATTTTGTAAACTATTAAAAATGAATGAAGAATTACCAAAGCATATGCAGTTTAAACGAACGGTAAGCCTAATATAAACTTGATATTTATTTTGACATATGCTGTTTCTGGATAGAGATGACTATTTTTCCAACAAGTAGAAACACTTAAAATCATCTTTCTTTTTGTTTGTTTCTTTCAAAATTTCAACAGCCATTTATTTTGGGCATCTTTTAATTTATTCTAGTGTGGAGCCCTTTATGAAGGAGATTCAACAAAAACTTGGTGATGTCAAGAAGACACCAGAGACTGCCATCTTTCATGGGTGGGGTCACACCAGGGGGGGATGTTCAGATATTGATCAGTTGCCATGAGGATCTACCTCATGTCCGATTTTTAGGTAAAAGCAGTTTCTCTGAGATGGTGAGAGTAGTTTTTAAAACTGTATACTCTCCAAATATTGATAGCATTCATTATTTTTATTGTGGGAAAAAAATCTTAAAACATGTAACTTTATTTGCATTATTGTTAACTGAGAAGAACATTTCTCCTTATATTGTGGAAGTAACATTAACAATATGCTATTTTTCTTCTATAATGGAGAGAGTGTATGACATTTGGGGAAGAGTTATGATGCATCATGAAACTGGGAACAAAACTGAAATCTGTATGAAACAGAGAGTTGATAAAGTACCCATTTTGATGAACGGATCTTCTTATCTGCAGGATTTTGATGTAGATTCCAGAATCCGCGATGAGATAAACAGAAAAACAGCTTTCAAAATTCAACAAGTAGAAAAGGAATTAGCTTGGGAAAAAGAGAAGCATGAACTCGGCCTAATGAAGCTAAAGAATCGGTAGAATCCATATTCTCTACAAGCTAAGATGTTTGAGAGCACACGTTTGAATAACATAGTGTATAGTAGTGTCAGTGAAGTGGCCAGATAAGAGGGCTCTGGAAGGTACCCACTAACTTGAAATCTCAAGGAATCGTCTTGTCACTGCTACTGGTATTTTCCTGAGCTTTCTGTACTCCCCTTTCTAGTTTAAATGTGGGAAATTAGTTTAACACTTAGATTTTTAAAATTATACAATACATATTTACTTTCTCTTTTGATGAATTATTTATTTTATATCAAGTTAATTAATGAACATGTATGTATTAAGAAATAAAAATTCAAATAGAATCAAAGGACTTGAAATAAAAGACAACCACCTCTGGTTTTATCCCTGTCATGCATCAATTTAACTTCCAGAGGAAATGATTGTTTTTTTTTTGTCATTTATTGAGATATAATTTATATAAGTAAAGTATGTAAATCTTAACATCTTGAAAAGTTTTTGCAGATGTATAGATATATGTACTACTCAGATTAAGATAGAGAACATTTATAGCGTTTCAGCAAGTTCCCCCATGTGCCCCCCACCCCAGGAAATACTTATTCTCCAAAGTTGAATCTTTATTGCCATATATTAGTTTGGTTTGTGAATTCCATATAAATAGAGTGTTACAGTATGGATTCTTCTGCATTTGGCTTTTTTTTTTTTTAAACTCATGATGTCTAAGATTATCAGTGTTGTTACATGTAGCAGTAGTGTATTCTATTCCATTGCTTTTTAATATTTCTTTAAAATGATTATACCACAGTTTATCCCTTCTACTGTTAATAGATATTTGAGTTGTTTCTGTTTTTGGGATACCATAAATAATACTACTGTGAACATTGTGTATGTTTTTTGATGGATATAAGTGCTTATTTCTGTTGGTTATATACGCAGTTGTGGAACTGCTAGGCCATAGGTTATATGCATGTTTAGTTTTATTAGATCCTGTCAGTTTTTCAGAATGGTTTGATCAATTTACACTCTTACCGTTAATGTATGAGAATCCCTATTGTTCCCCATTGTGTTAGTTTCTTAGGGCTTTTGTTAAAAAGTACCACAAACTGATTCGCTTAAAACTGGTTATTTATTGTCTTACACTTCTAGAGGCTGGAAATCCAAAATCAAAGTGTCAGGCAAGTTGGTTCTTTCTGAGGACTTGGTGGGGGAGAATCTGTTCTATACCTCTCTCCAAGCTTCGGGTGGTTTGCCAGCAACTTTTGGTTTTCTTGGCTCATGAATCTATCACTCCAAATCTTCTGCTTTCACTCGATATTCTCCCTGTGTCTCTTCATACAGTTTTTCCTGTGTATGTCTATCTCTATGTACAAATTTCCCCTTTTTATAAGAACACGAGTTATGTTTCATTAAGGCCTGCTGTAATTATTTCATTATAACTTGATTACCTCCATCAAGACCCTAGTTTCAAATAAAGTCACACTCTGAGGTGTTGGGGATTAGGACCTCAAGATAGGTTTTTGGGGGGACACAAATCCATAATACTTATGCTTGGGATTGTCAGTCCTTTAAATTCCAGCCATGATTAAATCTCATCACTTGGGATTGTCAGCCCTTTAAATTCCAGCCATGATTAAATCTCATCACTTGGGATTGTCAGCCCTATAAATTCCAGCTATTCTGTGGTGGCATCTCTATATGGTTTAAATTGGCATCTCCCTGATGAGTGATTTTCAGTCCTTTTTCATATATTTACCAATCATTTTTATATTTTCTATTGTTAAGTGTTTGTTCCAGTCTTTTGTCCATTTTTAAAACTAGGTGCAGGAATTGTTTACATCTGCATATGAGCTTTGGTTATTTATGTACATATGAGTGACTATATATGACATATGTGTATATGTGTGTTTGCATATGTAAAACATCTTGCTCTAGTATGTGGCTTTACTCTTAATGGAGTTGTTTGTTGAATAGAAGTTTTTGTCTTTTAATGAAGTCTTTTTTAAAAAAGATTAATGCTTTTATGTTATACTTGGAGAACCTTTGCCTACTCCCAATTCATAAAATAATTCTGTGTTTTCTTCCAGAAGCTCTATTGTTTTTCCATTATCCATCTTGAATAATTTTTATAAGTGGTGTGAGATCACGTCATTTGTTTTTATACTGATGTCCAGTTGACCTAGTATTGTTTGTTGAAAAGACCATCCGTTCTGTACTAGATTCTAGTGATGCTTTTGTCATAAGTTAGGTTACTGTACATTCGTGGGTCTGTTTCTGAACTCTATCTTATTGGCCTATCTGTCTATCCAGGTGCCGTTATCACTCTGTCTTAATTAACTCTTGACATCTAATATTGTAAATCCTCCAGCTTTGTTCTTCTCTCCAAGATTGGTTAAGTTCTTTGCATAGAATCAACTTGTCCATTTCTAGAAAATGCATGCTAAAATTTTTATTGGAATTACATGGAATCTGTGGAAATAATAGACATTTAAAGAATAAATTCCTATTTAGGAATAATAGACATTTAAATAATAAATATTATCTTACATAAACATGATATATCTTTTTTTTTTTTTTTTTTAAAACCAAAAAAATGAAAAAAAAAAAGCAAACGCTACATATTCTGAGCGTGCTGTATTAAGGAGTCAGCCACTGTTACTTGTGTTTTGGCAGAGACTTGAAGGCAACCAGAAGCGTGGGAAAGCTTTTTATTTATTTTATTTTATTTTTTTAATTTATTTTTTATTTTGGAAAAAAAGAAAAAAAAAGAAAGAGAGAAAGAAAGAAAAAAAGAATGAAGGAGAGGAAGAGAGAGGAAGAGGAAGAGGGAGAACGGGAGTGTTGCTTTATTGCCCAGACTAGAATGCAGTCTAAAAACGGGTATTGAAAACCTCTTTTACGCCAATAATTGTGCTTAATAATGGAGACAGGAAAAAAAATGATATATCTTAAAAAGAATCGTGATATATCTTAAAACATATATCTTAAAAAGAATCAGTTTTAATATTTTTATAGTGGTCACAACCATATATCTAAAAAATGTATTTATATACATTTATTATTAGTCATTTTTATTGACTTCCTAGTGCAGTAGCTAAAAATTTTCTTCACCTTAACGCATGCTTTCCTCTACCTTCTTGAAAATGTAGAATATATTATTGTAATTATATATATTCTACATGTAATATATAATTATATGTATTATATATAAATGAAGAATATATTATAATAATTGCTTTAATGTCCTTGTCTGCTGGGTATATTATCTGTGTCATTTCTGTGTATCTTTCTATTGACTGATTTATTTCTGTTCATTTTGGGTTACATTTTTATGCTTTTTAAAATACTTTTTTTTGGGTTGCATTTTTATACTTTTGGCCTGTCTGCCTGGTAAATTTTACACTGTAGGTGCTAGATATTTCTGTATACTTAAAAAACTTTTAAAAAAAAATTTCAGTAGGTTTTTAGGGAACAGGTGGTGTTGGTTATGTGAAAAGTCTTTTAGTGGTGATTTCTGAGATTTCGGTGTACCCATCACCTGAGCAGTGTACACTGTACCCATTGTGTAGTCTTTTATCCTTCACCATCCCCCATCCTTTCACCTGAGTCCCGGCAGAGCTACCGAGCTCCGGGCTGGTACTGAGGAGTGTCTGCAAAGAGACCCGTGATGTGATCCATCTTCAGATCTTGCAGCCATGGATACCAGTACCTGCTTCAGTGGCGGTAACAGGGGAGTGTAGCGGACTCTGTGAGGGTCCTTGGTTATGCTTTTGTTTAGTGTGCTCGTTTTGTGTTGGTTGGCTCCAGCCAGGAGGTGGCCATTTCAAGAGCCCATCAGCTGCAGTCCTGTAGGGAGGGTGCAAACTTGCCCTACGAACACCTGGTTAAGTATGCAGGTTTCTCAGGCAGGGCCCTGTAGAGCTCCCAACATTATGACCTTTGTTTTCAGGTACCAGGGAATGTAGAGAAAGACTGCCAGGTGGGGGCAGGGATAGGTGTGTCTGAGCTCAGCCTCTCCTTGGGTGGGGTTTGCTGCTGCGGCTGCTGTGGGGATGTGGGCGTGGTTTCCAGGCCAATAGAGTTATATTCCCAGGGGGATTATGACTGCCTCTGCTGAGTCTTACAGGGAAGTTGGGGAAAGCTGGTAGTCACAGGCCTGACCCTGCTCCCGTGCAGCCCAGAGTCCTAAAGGTCAGTCTCACTCCCACCATACCATCCCAAAAGCAAGTCTATTTCCAGATAGCTGCTGAGCAGGGCTGAGAACTGCCCCAGACCAGGAGCCTCCCCATTGAGAAAGTAAGCAGATTCCGTTTTTTAGGCATCTCAGTGAGCCTGCATGGGTGATCCAGTTCCTTCAAAGGGTCTGTGGATTCTCTCAAGTTTTCTGGGTATGTTCCTATGGTAGTTCTTGGAGTAAAAGTTCATGATGTGAGTCTCCACACAATGCTCTGTCTGGAACTGCAGGCTAGTCCTGCCTCCTATCCACCATCTTAATCTCTGTATACTTTAAAATATTGTTGAACTTTGTTTTGGGAAAAGTTTGGTTTTGTTTTTCTGAGACTTGCCTTTGATCTTTGTTAGGTGAGATCGGGGCAGCCTTTAGTCTAGGGCTAATGTTTCCAGCTACTCAGACAACACTCTTCTGAGTAGACTATGTATTATCAGGTTTATTATCAGCTATTTCAACTGTGTGAGATCTGTGGATTATTCTGCCTCTTCCTTTCTGGTGGTTCTTTTCCCAGCCTCAGGTAGACTCCTTCTCATGGAGTGCTGATTAGTGCTTAACTGCAGAGTGAGAGGGAACCCTCTCCAGATCTTCAGAGCTCTTTCTCTCTCTGCCTCTGGGTCTGTCTATCTCGTGCTGCTATCTCCTCTCTGGTACTTCACCCTGAAAATTATAGCACTTTTTACCAGGTATTACATCTCTGAATAGGTGAATTTCTGGATAATATTTCAATATTTGAATCGTTGAATTATAACCAGATTGCTACCTGCTAAAAGGTGAAAGTGGTGAAGAAATTCATTTCAGGAAGAACTCTCAGCATAGCAGCCTATGTTTGGCTTTAATAAGTATTTGCAGTATATTTATAAGTATATATATGTATATATATTCATATATATATGAATCCCAACTTACAAACTTAGGTATGTAAGTACATGGCTTTTTTTTGTTGTTTAACTTAAATCTGACTTTGACTCTGGGCTTTCATCAAGAAGATAGGAAAGTCAGTCTCAGTACTACTGAAACTCATTGTGTCATTTTCCCAGCCTACCTGCTTCTTTTGGTCCTTTGATTCTGTGGTTTCTGTGCTCTGCTGGAGCAGGCAGTGTTTTGTGAGGCCAGGAGCCCCCTGCGCTGTACATCAAACACACATACAGACATCACTCTTAAGCCCTTACCATCTCCCCAGATGCTTTCAGATGCAGGGAACTAGTGCCCGCAGCTCTAAGACCCACTTGCCCATCCTCCTCCAAGTCAGGGTTCACTTCTGCCTCCCCACTATCCTTATTATCAAATACTCTTTTCCTTAACTCCTGCTTTCTGTCCCTGATCTGGGCACCCTCCATCCACAATAGCATTATGTTTTCAGGGAACATATGGAAGAAGGCAATAAGAACCTATCTGACTGGAATGTGGGGAGAGGTTAAAGTTGTACCACCAAATAACATTGCGTATTACGAATGTTTTCATTTTTACCGATATAATAGGCCAAATATAATAACTCTTGGTTGAATAATTTAATCCTTTTGATTATTGGTGGGGTTCAGCATTTCCTTTCATATGCCTATAGTTTATTTATATTTATTCTTCTGAGAATTGTCTGTTTAGATTTCTTTTTCATTTTTTCTTTGGGTTCTGTTTATTTCCCCTATTATTTTTAATTTTAGCCTCTTTGTCTATATTACAGATATTTGTCTTTTATTCTGCATATTGTAAATGCTTTCTCCTACTCTGCCATTTGCCTTAAACTTTGTTCATATTTTTCTAACTATGCAGAAGTTTTAATTTTTATGTGATCAAAACCAGCCATATTTTCTGGTCTCATGGAAAGGCTAAAATTTAAAAGTTCCAGTGGGCAAAAACATAAAGGAAAATAGTCTTAAAGAGATGAGAAAGTACTATGAAAGAAAAGGGAAAATTAAAAAGAAATAGTAAATCATTTTAAAAGGAGACATAGAGTTTAAAAGACTAAGTTAGAAAAATAGTAAGAAAGGCCAACAAGCTAGGAATAATCAATATATACAAAAATAAATTCCAAAATGAAAAGTGTGTGTGTGTGTGTGTGTGTGTGTGTGTGTGTGTGATAATGATGAACCAATGCCCCCAAATAACAAGGTAATTGATGAAAAATTTTTAAAATTAATTTTAAAAATTGACATAGATGAAGAGCTTTTTAAAAAAAGACAATGTGGGCTATGAGAGAAAGATGAACTGGAGATTAGTGTGATTTCCTGAGCTTAATGTTTTTTTACAGAGGCAAATGGAGGAATCCAATAGATGGGGACTTTCATGAAATGTTATTAAATATGAAAAACTGAGGGGCAAAGAATAGAAATGAGGAGGTCTGTACTTTTATTCAACTGCTCAAGCTCTGCTCTCCTTATAGTTACTACATACAAATAAATTGCATTGCCACATGTATGTAAACACACATATATACACCACACATACCATGTAATTTAAAAAAAACAAAATGTATGTGAGATGCATAATGCTTTAGTGAGATGAAGAATGAATATTCTTTAGTTTCTAGGGAATGAATGTTAAAAATTATTTTTCTACTTTTTGATTTAGAGACTCTTCACTCACACACATATTTATATATTTATATAATTTACATGTTATATTTATTCATATATCTATGCAATAAAACACAAACTATAATAGATAATTATGTATTATAGATAATTATATATAAGTTATGTATAGATTATATATTATAGATATCTATAATTTATATAGATATAATATTATATATCTATTATATATATATGTAATATATATCTATTATATGTTACAGATAATTATATATAACTATTATATGTCATATAACAATCATATATAGGTATATGTGTAGATATATATCTACATAATATTTAACATATAGTCTATTATATATAATATGTAGAGAGGTGGATTATATTTCCTCAGAGTTTGATATGATCTATTTACCATTAAACTGCAGTCTGCCTGCAAAATTTTCATTTTCCCACATATTAGCAAAACACTGGTATTATAGTGATTAATAATGAGTTGTTCAGTCTTTCCATTAGAAAGACTGTATTTGCTCTTTAATCAAGTCCAATTCAATCTCCATGACATCCTGTTGGTATATATGGTTAAAATTTGAGTCTAGCACAGTATAATGATAATAAAAATAATATAGTTTTATTTTGTTACTTAGTAATTATGCAGAATGATCAAAACGGTGACTATTGACAATACTTGTTTTATTTTTCAGATTTCGTGATCCATTGGAAAGTGATACTATTGTGGTTCATGCCATACAAAGTGACCACAAGATAACCTCTTACAGGCTGGTGCAGCCCTCTAAGTACTCCAAATTCAAACGAGCAAGTCAGTCAGAGAGAAGACCAAGCAAACTGGACAGGTTTGAAAAAGAGGGAGCTGGAAGAAAGGACAGCCAGAGAGATGCAGGTAGCCTATGTCAAGAAGGCTTTTAAATTCTTAATTCCTAAGACTTCAAAACTGAATTGTCTGTGGGCAGAACCATTGAACCTTCTTTGGTGCTTGAGCTCAATCTCTTGTCCCTCTTCCTTCCATGATGGGTTGCTTTGGAGTACATAATCAATGGAGACAAAAGTATACAGTATAGCTGAGAATGAGAGGCCACATTTTTCCAACAAATGCTCCATGCCCACTGTGTCGCCTTTAATGTAGTTTGTAAGAAGCCCTACCCTGGTCATGTGACGAGAGTGGGTGAGAGGACTGGATGCTGCTGTTTCCTTACTTGCCACATCTGGCTATTGTTAAATCTAGGATTTCCCCAGATGCTAGGTTCTAGGCAGTGGTTCTTTTCAGATTCCTGGGCTCCATCCCAGAATGTGGGGCTAAAACACTGCATTTCAGACTGTTCCAAGAACATACGCTTTACACAGAATGAGCAGAGAATACAGGTATGAAAATAGTACCTCTAATCCCTTCAACCTGTTTCTTGTGGCTTTCCACAAGGTGACTGCAGATGAGTAGGAGAAGAACAAGAATTCTGGAAATGGCTTGGAGAACCAATCAGCAATAAATAAAAGGTGCTGCTGCAGCCTGGCTAGATCTAGGCTATTGACCATGATACAATACGAACATTAATATTGGTTTATCCTCCTCATTGAGAAGTTTTTAATGTCTCCTTTTTGATTCTAGGATAAATTCTGGAACTGCTGTCCTAGTGCTCAGTCCTTCCACAATCTATACCTATTCTATGTTTCTAGCAGTGCCTTCTCATACTGTTCAACACCTGTTTAGTCTTTTGTCCTGCCTGCTGCTTTTTGGGAACAAGCCCAAGCCTGTATGTGGGTGCCCCGTGTCCTGGCAGTAACAAGGGAGTGAGAAAAGAAAATAAAGACAAAGATACGAGAGTAGAAGTTCACAGCATGGGTCCAGGGGTCCAGTTCACTCTCTCATGGGGTGAACTGTGTTGGCACCGAGCTCTGGGTTCCACGTGCTTTTATTAGGTGTATATACTTGTTAATTGAGGGGTGGGGGAGCAGGAAGGGATGATCAGGGGAGGACTTGAAACTGTTGGGAGAGGCCTTGAAACTAAGGTGGGCAAGATAGCCAAGAGAGAGGTGTGGTCTGCCGTATTCAGTAGCAGACGTGATTCTCATGCAAACCTAGAACACTGAGTTCTAGCACTGGTTGCTGCCAAGGTGCATTTGCGTCAGAAGCTTAGCGGATAAGACACCACCAGGTTTCATCACACCCAGTGCATCACGGGGCTGGACACAGAGCAAACAAGATTACTCCATATTCTGAGAACCTAGACAGAGCCTGTGGCATTCTGGTAATCTCTGCCCTGCAAGGCTTTTTCCCCTTGCAAGCTCCCATCTGCAGAGACCCTCCTGGATCTTGTGAGCAGAAGTTGCCTCCCTTCTCAGAAGTCTTAACACAAGTCCTTTTTACGAGATCCTCATGCAGCCTCCATGTTGAGAAGGCGTTCGTGGGACCAAAGCAGTATTTCCTGCTCTGCAACCACCCTGTGGTGTTCCACGGCTTTACAGCACTGTCAGATGGTCTTAGGCCTCCTGTTGCCGCTTGATTTCTTTTACTGCACCAATATTTGATATAGTTTAGTTCGGGGTTTAAGCTTCAGCGTACAAAAAGCAAGGCAAGCTTATAATTATTTAACTAGAAATAACTTAGGTCTGCCCCTGGCCATCTTGACCCACAGCTGCTCCCTAATTATGTCTGCACTTCCACACCCAGGCTCCTGCTGGAGTGACCTCTTCACTCCTTTCCTCTCTGAATTCTACCAATTCTTGGGATCTAGCTTAAGTTTCTTTTGTTTCATAAAGCCTTCCCATGACCACCCTGGCCACATAAACTTTTTCTCTATACCACCATATATTTGAAATATGAAATATGATTAAATAGTTATTTGTAACTATATAAATATCTCATATTATTTATTTTTTCATGTCTATATGTAGCTTAAACATGAATAGAGTGATTCCCTAATAGAAACTTGTTAGTAGATCAGGTGCGGTGGCTCACCCTGCAGTCCCAGCACTTTGGGAGGCAAAGGCGGGTGGATCACTTGAGGTCAGGAATTCAAGACCAGCCTGGCCAACATGCTGAAACCCCATTGTACAAAAATACAGTAATTAGTTGGGCATGATGGCACATGCCTGTAGTCCCAGCTACTTGGGAGTCTGTGGCAGGAGAATCACTTGAACCCCAGAGGCAGAGGTTGCAGTGAGCCAAGATTGCACCATTGCACTCCAGCCTAGGAGACAAAGTGAGACTCCATCTCAAAAAAAAAAAAAAAAAAAAAAGTTGCTAGTTGATAAAGCCAATTTTCTTTTTTTTATTTTTCTTTTCTTTTTTTCTTTCTTTTCTTTTTTTTTTTTTTTGAGACATAGTCTCTCTGTGTCCCCAAGGCTGGAGTGAAGTGTTGCAACCTTGGCTCACTGCAACTTCTGCCTCCCAGGTTCAAGCAATTCTGGTACTTCAGCCTCCTGAGTAACTGGGATTACAGGTGCGTGCTACCACACCCAGCTAATTATTTTTTCATATTTTTAGTAGAGATGGGGGTCTCACCATGTTGCCCAGGCTGGTCTCAAACTCCTGAGCTCAGGTAATCTGCCCACCTCAGCCTCCCAGAGTGCTAGTGTAACATAGCTAGCCTAAAGTTAGAACCTGAGCAATGCCGTTTTATACAAGACAAAGCTGTTTTCCAAAATTAAGTTGTAGTGGCTGCCCCATTCTCCTCACAATAACTGCTGGCCTTGGCTTCTGTAAATAAAACTGCTAGTTTGCTCTGCAAAATAACTACTATGTAAAGCTGCTTAAACTTTGCTTATCAGTAACTGCTCTCTGTGGCCCTAATGTAACAGGAAAGCAGTCCTAACCCACGCCATCTTGGCTCCTGCGACTTGTAATAAGTAACTAAGGTCTGTGATTTCCACCTTACCCAGATAATGTGTAAACAAATGTTTATCTTGACTTCTGTAAACCACTTAAGTAACGAACGGAATGACAAAAGTCCCCTGGCCCTTGGAATATCCAGAGCCCTGTCTTTGTCCAAGAGGTAATTTACAGAATCCACTAGCCCTCAGAATGTCTGAAGCCTTTTCATCCCCATCCCCGCTCCTCACCCCCACTCCCAAGGTGGTATAAAAAGTCTTTTCGGGTATAAAAAGTCTTGGCACCCTCCTTTCGATGCCACAGGTTGGAGAGACGTGAGTCCTCTGTGGTCGCCGGCATAATAAAGACCCTGTAATCTGTCATACTTTTGTCTTGGTGTTAACTTTCTATGCTAGGTCCTGTATAACACTAGGATTATAGGTGTGAGCCACCGAGCCTGGCCATAAAGCCAGTAATTTTTGAATTATTTGATTGTGTTTCTGACGAGTTTTTAGTTGGCTGCAGAGCACTTCAGTTGGTATGTACCACCTCAAATCATATGTATCAAATTGGACTTACTCGATTTTTCTCCTTTTCCCCACCATCATGTCACAAACACTCCTTCCCAACATGTTAAATGATGGGAAGGACCATCATTTATGGTTCACCATCATTTATCTTGTTCTCTAATTGTTTAATATATGCCTTATCTTGCCAACTTTTAATAAGGTTCTTAAAAGCAAAAAATGTGACTTAGATCTTTTTATTTTGGGATTTCACAGGACTTATTATGGGGTTGAATTCATAGTAGTTCGTCAATAAATACTTTTTTGTTTTTGTTTTTGAGATGGAATCTTGCTCTGTTTCTCAGGCTGGAGTGCAGTGGTGAGATTTCAGCTTACTGCAGTCTCCACCTCCTGGGTTCAAGCAATTCTCCTGCCTCAGCCTCTCAAGTAGCTGAAATTACAGGAACACACCACAACAGCTGGCTAATTTTTGCATTTTTAGTAGAGATGGGGTTTCACCACATTGCCCAGGCTGCTCTGAAACTCCTGACCTCAAGTGATCTGCCTGCTTCAGCCTCCCAAAGTCCTGGGATTACAGGTGTGAGCCACTGCACCTGGTACTCAATAAATACTTTGGTTTACAAATTCAACATATTCTCTGCATTTTTTTTTATCTGGCAGATTAAAAACGATATTTGCGAGTATTATTTTTATGTCTGAAAATGACTAAAAAATGTTGATTCTCTGTATAGGTGAGAGTGTTATTGAACAAGAGGACTCAATAATAGAAAAAGGGAAGAAATTTCGGCCTAAAACCCTAAGTGAAATTATGGTGAAAAATCAAATTGAGAAAACGAGAAAACTTATATTAAAAGCTGAAAGAGCACAACTGAAGATTCAACAGAGAAAAAAAGAATGGGAGGAACTGTGAGTTTTTTACCTAAACTCTAATCTTTTTAATATTTGAGCCCCAAAATAATATATCTTAAAAATCTTTATATTTATTGACATTATCATTTAAATGCAAAAGTAAAAAAAATAGAAACAATATAATCAGAATGATTTTTAAGAATTAAGAAATGCTTTTCTATCTCAAAATGATAAACATATTCTCCTGTATGTTCTTCTAATATCTTATAGTTTTGACTTTTTATCGTTAACCATCTGAGGTTAACTTCTTTCTCAAAAAAAAAAAAAAAGTCTAATATTGATATGGGGGTGCTAGGAAGGGAAGGGTGTGGTCCCTTTAAATGACATGGCAGGAAGGAAGGGAAGTGCTGGGTAGAGAAAGGCATGGTCCCTGGCTAGGGCTCTACCTCCAGGGACCTAGGTGAGGACAGGCATTTCCTGCCCAAATGTTGCATTTCCCAAGACCACCCTGGCCTGCCATGTCCCCATCCTGGGTATTTAAAAGCCTGAGACCCTAGTGGCAGACACAGAAGTGGCTGGATGTCATGAGGGACACATTGGTTGAAGAAGACACAAGCAACTAGTTATCGAGAGCATGCAGGAGAAAGAGCAGGCTGACAGGTATCAACAGATGCCGGCAAGCTGGCAGGCCATTGACCAGTGGAATGAGGCAGAGTTTGGCAGCACAGTTGGCTGGGGCTGCCAAGTGGCCCAATTCCAGGGAAAAACCCTTCTGGCTCTCCCATTGGGGAGAGCTACTTCCATTCAATAAAAATTCGCATTCATTCTCCAAGCCCACATGTGATCTGATTTTTCTAGTACACCAAGGCAAGAAACCCTGGGATACAGAAATCCCTCCGTCCTTGTGATAAGGAAGGGGGTCTAATTGAGCTGGCTAACACAGGCTGCCATTAGACAGCAAACTAAGAGAGACCCTGTAACACATGCCCATTGGGGCTTCAGCTGTAAACATTCATGCCTAGACACTGCCTGGGGTTGGAGTCCCACAGCCTGCCCGTTGGTATGCTCCCCCTAGAGGTTTGAGCAGTGGAGCACCCCTATCATATACCCTTTGAGGGGAACAAGGGAATTTTTCCCATTTCAACTGGGGGCTCGTCCAGGATTGCAGAAGGTGAGTGTGGGTGAATGCCAGACTTTTGGGTCTGCCTCTCTTCTAAAACCCTGCCACCTCTCTTTTTCCTGCAGGTGAGATGCTCTGTTTTCCTTCTCTGAGTTTTAAAAACTCCACCCTAAGTGGGAAGTCAAAACCCCCAGACTTTGTCTCTTTTCTGTCTTTGAAATGACTCTTATGTCTTTCTTTATAACGTTAGGAGTTTTGCTACAAGCTGTGGAAATGTTACTAAGTACAATGAGCATTAGGCTCAGCTGCTGAAGGTGCAAATCAGACCAGCTGTTCCTAGAGGTGCCATGTATGCCTCCGACTTGACAGCTGCAGGCATGCATGGCTCAGGGCACCTCTCCTTACCCTTTTTCCTCCCAGCTTGGGTGCCTGGGCATGACTGCAGCAGGCAAGGGCCAAGCCCAACAGTCACTAGCAGGCTGGGAGAAAGCCATGACAGTAGTTGCAACCCCACAGGGTCAACAGACAAGTGTTTCTTGCCCACCATACCAATGGAACCTCTCCTCCCCTGGCCAAGGAATTCAACCTAGTCTGAACTGAGGGAAAGATACAAGTATTAGAAAGGCCCAGTTGCACTAAGCAAGGGATTCTTCCCCCAGAATCTCTCCCCTTTTTGCTCCTTAAACTATTTTCTTCTTTTCTAAGTGAAAGGACTCCCCCTCCCCCTTGACCCCTCTCCCTGCCACCAGTTCTGTTTCTGATAAGAAAGTTAACAGGAATGGCCCCTGCTGGCTGAGAACTGCACATTTGGCAGGCACATTTGAGACACTCTAAGTAGATACAGCCTCTAAAATACTTTTTCAGTCCCAACCTCGATTCCAAGCTTTCATCTGAGTCCCTAGAAAGGAAAACCAGGTCTGAGGGATCCAAAGCCAGGCAACAGGCACAATGTAAAGCAGGACCAATTCCTGCCAACTAAACTTCCTACCCCATGGAAAGAAGCCATGCTTCATGGCATAAACAGACCCAGGGAATTGTTTGCTGTCAGCAGGGAGAAATGGAGGCATAGGTGAGGGTGGTTAATTCCTATTCTCCAGGTTTCCCCTGCTTCCTGGGTATATACTGCAGTGGTACCTATGGCCAGCTCAAGGATAATGGATGGAAAGTGAAAGGAGAATGTACTCTTTCTCTCTCCGTCATACCCTGAATTTTCACTGAAAGAAGGAAGGGAATGAGGGACACCTCTCTTCCGTCTTTCAGAATGGGCGATAAGTTATCTTCATCATCCCCAGCATATACTCCTTTGGAGTATATCCAGAACCATTGAGACTACTTTGACCCTCAGAATCTGACCCCTTTTATCCCTCTCCACAAAGGTTTGGCCAAGTTATGATTTACAGGAAGGACTGGCTTGACCCCAGAAAGGAACCATTCATTTTGATACCATTCAGCAGTTGGAATTTTTCTATAGATGTGAGGACAGATGGTCTGAGGCTCCATATGTTCAGGCTTTCTGTAGCTTGCAAGGCAATCCAGACTTTTGCTCACAGTGTGAGATCAATTGATCCAGCCCTCCTGTTGGCCATCTCAGGGAAGGCCACAGGGGGTAAGCCCAGGGAATTAAAGATATGAGTCTCAGAGGCACCCCCAGCAGAAGAGTCACCTCTCTCCAGCCTTGCTCCTCTGGATCCACCCTGACCTCCTTATCCAGCTTCAGCCCCTCACTTGCCCCCTCCTAGAAATTCTTGCCCTAAACAAGCTCCAGTCTCACTCTTGCCCATCCAACAGATGCCCAGTGAATTTGGGCCCAGTAAGGCCCAGGTCCCCTTCTCCCTACAGTACTTAAAGCAAATTAAGAGGGATCTTGGGAACTCTTCAGATGACCCTGAGAAGCTTTCAAGAATTCCACCCAAATATTTGAACGGTCCTGGAGAGAGGTGTTACTTTTCAATCAGACCCTGATTGACACTGAAAAGCAGTATGCTCTGCAAGCAGCAGAGAGATTTGGGGATTTAACAAAAATCTGGTATGAGGTAGTTTCACTTGACAAGCACATATTTTCATTGGTTTATTTGCCGTCTGTATATTTTTGGTGACGTGACTCTTCATGTCTTTTGCTCATGTGTGAATGGGGTTGTTTGCTCTTTTACTGTTGAGATTTTAGACTTCTTTATATATTCTAGATACTAGTCCTTGTGTTGGATATACAGTTGATAAATACTTTCTCTTAGTCTGTAACTTGTCTTTTCATTCCCTTCACAGAGTTTGTTCTTTTTTTTTTTTTTTTTTTTTTTTTTTTGAGACAGAGTCTTGTGCTTTTGCCCAGGCTATAGTGCAGTGGAGTATCTTGGCTCACTGCAAACTCCACCTTCCGGGTTCAAATGATCCTCCCTCATAGCTGGGATTACAAGCATGTGCCATCATGCCGTGCTAACTTTTGTATTTTTTAAAGTAGAGACAGGGTTTCATCTTGTTGGCTAGGCTGGTTTGGAATTCCTGACCTCAAGTGATCTGTCCACTCTGGCCTCCAAAAGTCCTGGGGTTACAGATGTGAGCCACCACACTCAACCTTCCTTAACAGAGTTTGTCACAGAGCAACGGTTTTTAATTTAGTTGATGTTCAATTTATCAATTTTTCCTTATATAAATCTTGATTTTGGTGTCAAGTCTAAGAACTCTGCCTAGCCCTAGGTCCTAAATACTTTATCTTGTTTTTAACATTTTATAGTTTTTTCACTTTATATTTAAGCTAATTTTTAAATCAGGTATCAGACTTAGGTTGAGATTTGTTTTTTTCTTATGGATGTCCAATTAGTCCAGCATTTTCGTTGAAAAGACATTTCCTCCATTGAATTTCTTTTGCCCCTTTGTCAGAAATCATTTGGACATGTTTATGTGGGTCTATTTCTGGGTTCGCTTTCAAATCCATTGATCTATATATCCTTTCACCAACACTACACTGTCTTGATTCCTATATCTATATAATAGATCTTGAAATCCAGTAGAGTGATTCCTCTCATTTTATTCTCTTTCAAAATTATTTTAGACATTCTAATTACTTTGTCTTTCCATATAAATTTCAGAAAAATCTTGTCTATATGTATAAAAAATCTTGCCATAATTTCAATAAGAATTATGTCAAAGCAGTGTATTACTTTGGGGAGAATTGGTATCTTTATTGTGTTGAGTCTACTAATCTATGGACATAGTATGACTTTCCATTTATTTAGATCTTTGATTTCTTTCATCAGTGTTTTGCTGTTTTCAGCATAAAAGTTCTATACATATTTTATTAGATTTGCACATAAGTATTTCTTTTTTTAGCAATTTTAAATGGCATTGTGTTTTTAATACTGGTGTCTCTCTGTTCACATTCACTGCTGCTAGTATAGAAATACAATTGATTTTTGTATTTCTATCTAATATCCTGTGACCTTTCTGAACTGTCTCAGTTCTAAGAATTTTTTTTTTTAGTAGATTTCTTGATATTTTATGTGTAGACAGTCATTTCATTTGGAAGCAGGGACAGTTTTATTTCTAATCTGTATGCATCTTATTTTCTTTTCTTACTGGACTAGCTAGAACTTCCAGTACAATATTGAAATAGAGTGGAAAGAACTAGCATCCACTCTTTGTTTCTTATCTTCGAGGGATAGCATTCAGTGTTTAAATGATATAACTGTTTCCAGCCTTTAACTCAACCTACCTATACTTTTATATTTGAAGTTAGTGTCTTCATAACTTCACTAGACAACATACAATTTTGTTTTTAAATCCACACTGCCCATTTCTATCATTCATTGGTGTATTTAGACCATGTATATTTATGTACTTATTTATATTTAGGGCTTACATCTGTGTTCTATATTTTGTTTTATTTTGTTCTATTTTTTAGATTTCTGTTTTTCTGCTTTACTAAGGAATTTTTCAATGAGTTCATATGGAAGTATTCTTTGAGGGATACTTTTAAATATAAATTTAAAATTTTGAGTGTTACAGTGCTATACAAATGTTCTATTTCTTCTTGAGTCAGTTTTTATAATTTGTGTCTTTGAAGGAATTTGTGCGTTTTCTCTAAGTTGCCAATTTTATTGGCATAAAGTGGTTTATATTATTCTCTCATTTTTATTTTAATTTCTGTAGTATCTGTTTTAATGTCCTCTGTTTTATTGTTAATTTTTATATTCTCTCTTTTTCTTGATCATTCCAGCTAGTGATTTACCCACATTATCAATCTTTTCAAAGAACTAGCTTTTGGGCATAGATTTTAAAATATTGTTTGGTCTACTTTCTCTGTCATTTTACTATTATTTTTATAATTTCTTACCTTCTAGTTAACTTAGGTTTAATTAGCTTTTACTTTCTTGCTTCTTAATGTGTAAACCTGTGTATAAGCTTTGATTCTATGTCCTTCTTTTTTTCTAATATAAACATTTAAGGTATATATTTCCTCCTAAGCATTAAGTTAGCTGCATTACACATTTTCATATGGTAGATACTTATTATCACTTAGTCCAAAGTATTTCTAATATCCTTGTGATTATTTCCTTGACTTGCAGCTTAGTTTCCAAAGATTTGTGGTTTCAAAAATATTTCCCTGTTAGATTTCTAATTTAGTTGTTTGTGATCATAGAAAATGGTCTGTATAAGTTTTTTTTTTTGTTTGTTTGTTTGTTTTGAGACGGAGTTTCACTCTTGTTACCCAGGCTGGAGTGCAATGGCGCGATCTCTGCTCACCGCAACCTCCACCTTCTGGGTTCAGGCAATATTCCTGCCTCAGCCTCCTGAGTAGCTGGGACTACAGGCATGCACCACTATGCCCAGCTCATTTTTTTTATTTTTAGTAGAGACGGGGTTTCACCATGTTGACCAGGTGCTGGGATTACAGGCGTGAGCCACCACGCCCGGCAAGTTTTTAAAGATGTATTGAGAACTGTGTTATGGCCCTGCACATAGAGTCTGTCTACATAAAAGTTCAATGTGTGCTCGAAAAGGGTATGCTTTCTTGCGTTGCTTGGTGTAGTGTTCTATAAATGTCAATTTGGAAAAGATGTTTGATAATGTTTTTCATATCTTCTATGTTTCTCTCTCTCTTTGAAGGCATGAGTTTTTAAGGGTTATTCTTGAATGTCCTCTGTATTCAACAAGCTGTCTCCAATCGGTGGGAACATGAGTGGTTCCTAGCTATGTGTAAACTATGAGAATTGTTTGTTCTGCAGTTTCCCAGTAATTATACTTTTCCTAGAAGTTCTTTGCCCAGCTTCATGGTGGTTCACATTGCACATGTACAGATTAATACTCAGCCCAAAAGTTAAGGCCCTATGTAGATTTCCAGAGGTGTTTTTTTGTGTACCCCTGATATTCTTTCCCACAAATTCTTAGTACCAAATTTGGCCTCCCTGTACTCTAATCTCTGCCTCCTCAGTGAGTGAGTTCACTGGGCTGTATTTGGGATCCTGACCCTACTCTATAGGTTGGTAATTTCCTCTATGCAGCAGCCAGGAGATAATAAGGATCACATCTTTTTACTTTTCTAAAGAATTACAGTTTTATGCTGTTTATGTTCAATGTCTGAACATAGTAGTTTCACATATTTTTTGTTCAGTTTTCTGATTGTTTATATTATATGAGGATAATAATGGCCCCTGTTCCTCTCACATGGCCAGAAGCAGAAGTAGCTCTTCTCTTCCCTTCCTTTTTGTTTCTTTCATTTCCTTTCTCCCTTTCTCCTTTCCTTTAAAAGTATTAATCCTTCTTTTAGTGCAGTTTTACACAAATAAATGCTTGTCATTTAATATAATAGATGATGGGTTTCCTCTGGAATTTTGCATGTCCGTTTCCTTAAAAGAACTTTCTCTTAAAGGAAAGGGCTGACTGACTGCTATGTGCACATACTCATGTTGTCTAGTAGACTTAACTTTGAAAACTTAGACAGGTACGTTGGGATCTCCCAGTTAAGGGCCTTTTATTAGTACCAAGATATCTAAGGGTATGAGCTGGTAGCCCATACCCTTAGATACCTTAGTACTTCCCAAGCAAGGAGTTCAGTTTCTGTAGAGAGTAGTTCTTTAATTTTAGTCTGGATATAGAGATTGCCACTGTTTTGTGTGTGCAGGTGGGAAAGTTTGGGAGGGCCCAACTGGTTTAAGCATTATTTTCAATCCTTTATTTTACCAAATATATTTAGCATTCCATTCCACTCCCTATACCTGCTCTCTTTGTGCTTGGAACATTCTAGGAACTTCACCAAGAAGATAATATTCAGTGCTTTTTGTTGCTTTATCTTGTGGGTATTCAGGGCTATAGTTTGATCTGGTTTATTCATTAATATAATTTGATCTTCTTTCTGTCTTCCAGAACTGGCTCAGTGTCACTGATTTGCTCATGGCTTTCTATTCCATTCTTAGCTTTCCTGATAATTTACAACTTTTTGTACATCTGTACTGTCATTTTCAGGGAATTTGGGGACAGAGGGAGAGGCAAATATGTATGTTCATGCTATCATCTTAAACTAGATACCTTTTCTGAAAATTTACAGCAAGCATATGCAATAAAAAAAGTTCAATTGACTTTTCAGTCATTAAAAACCCACCTAATTTACAAGGCTTAATTTATATCAAGAGAATAAATAACAATGTTCACACGAATTACATAGAAGTGAACCAAAGCCTAACAGTAATTCAGATTATTTCAGTACAATCTAGTGATTGGTTCCTATTTATATAATTGAATATTATTTTGCTTGGGATACTTTAAAAGTAGTAATTGAATTTTAAAAACTGCTTGGGCTCTGTGACAAAAGTAGCATCGTAGATTTGAAATTATACTTTTGTTTCGTGATTAAATTTGAATATATGCCTAAAGTAGACAAATTAGAGTTTATTGTCATATTTGTGTCTGGGTTGTCTATTTTTCTAATAGATACAAGAGTAAACCTGATGATGACTTTGAAGATCCCAAAGATCTTCAAGCTATCAAAGAAGCCCAGGTGTATATGGGAGATTTCAATCTGAAGACAGCCTCAGACTACAAGATACCTGAGCACATGAGAATAAATGCTGCCAAGAAGGAAGAGGAACTAGGACACCTAGATTCTTTGGTACTTATCTACATATTTTATGACAATGGAGAAAGCACCCTGGATTTTTAATTAAATTCTGCTAAAACCACTCATTTCCTTCTCTGGTCAATAAGAATATATAACCATAGAAATTAAGAACTGGAAAAGACTATCATGATTATCTAGAATGTCCTCTTTTTACAAGTGAGGAAACTGAGGCCCAGAGAGGACAAGAGATTTGTCCATGGTTAGTCAGCTAATATGAAAGAACCAGCTGTGAATACTTACAGTGTATCTGAGGGTTACAGATGGGTACTACCTGACAGGTATGGCAGGGTCATCAAGGATATCTGGGAATCTAGGTCAGAGTTTGATGAATGTATCTATTTCTTGTTTGCAGTGTCTTATTAGAAGTATTAATACATCTTTGTTGAGTTAGCATTTCTTAGAAGACTCTGTCTTTGAGCTTTTCTTAAAATACCATGTTTCAATACCAGTTTCATGTGTAAGCATTATATTTTGTGGACTTTGAACCTCTGAAATTCAGACAAATCCTCATTGGGTTTAGTTTTTGGTTGCCATGGACAACCAAGGACTTAGATTGAAAAGGCCATTGTTCAATCATTAAAAAATCTGGAGACAAAACAGATGCTGGAGAGGATGTGGAGAAATAGGAACACTTTCACACTGTTGGTGGGAGTGCAAATTAGTGCAACCACTGTGGAAGACAGTGTGGAGATTCCTCAAGGACCTAGAAATAGAAATTCCATTTGACCCAGCAATCCCATTACTGGGTATATACCCAAAGAATTATAAATTGTTCTATTATAAAGACACATGCACGTGTATGTTCTTTGTGGCACTTACAATAGCAAAGACCTGGAACCAACCCAGATGCCCATCAATGATAGACTGGATAGAGAAAATGTGGCACATATACACCATGGAATACTATACAGCTATAAAAAAACGATGAGTTTGTGTCCTTCATAGGGACATGGATGAATCTGGAAACCATCATTCTCAGTAAACTGACACAAGAACAGAAAACAAAACACCGCATGTTATCACTCATAGGCGGGTGTTGAACAATTAGAACACATGGACACAGGGAAGGGAGCATCATACACTGTGGTCAGTTGCCGGGGGCTAAGGGAGGGACAGCAGGGTGTAGGGAGGGATAACGAGGGGAGAATACCAGATATAGGAGATGGGGGATGAAGGCAGCAAACCACCTTGCCATATATATACCTATGCAACAATCCTGCATGATCTGCACATGTACCCCAGAACCTAAAGTACAATTAAAAAAAAAAAAAAAAGAGAAAGGGTCATTGTTTAGCCTTTTTTTGTAGGACGTTGAAACTGTTCTAGGCAACTCAGTGCTAATTTATTTCTTTGTTATTTTCTCTGCATTCCTCCAAACCATTTTCTATCATACTGATGTCTGATCCCCATTTTCTTATGAAAGTTCCTCTTCCTGCTATATTAATTCCTTAATCACCATTTGAACTGACAAGTGACTTTTTATGCTTAAAATCTTAGAGGTTATCTGAGCTACTACTTTTAGGAGAACTAGATACACAGTAACCTAATACGGTTGTGGAGGTTGCACATTTCAAGGCCTCACATTGGAGAGGGTGCCGATCATATCACAGATATATTAATAGTATTTTTGAATATTTTTATAATTTCCTGACAAATGCGAATGAAGTGTCCCGAGGAAGGGGTGTCTTCTTCTGTTTCACCAAAGAGTTACATCCCAGCAGCACAAGGGTCCTGGCCTGCCAATTCATATCCACAAATACATTTTCATAGCTCATAACTGTGTGTTTCTCATCCAAATGGACAATTTGGACATTTTAGTAATGACCATTTGGATTGTTTTCCTAGTTTTTCTTCCAAGGTATTTTTTATTTGTTTATCATGTTAACATCAATCATCATACAAAAATGTTCTTAAGACAACAATTTATCCAACCTGAAATTTCATGCTGTAGCTAGAAGAGGTGGGCAGGTATGATGTTTTCAACTTAACTACATTACACTGAAATTTGCTTTGTTAATATAAAATCATTTAGAACACCTTGTTCTACAAGTCAGAAGACTGGAGTTCTGTTTCCATCTCTGCCACTTAATAGCCATATGAACTTTGCTAAGTCATATAAACCTCCGTAAGCCATTTATTTCATCTGCAGAAAGAGTATTAATACCATGTCTAGTACACATAGGGTTAATTTAATGGTCAGAATCCATAAATGGTCTTTATTGTTATGGTCAAATTGAAAATCATTGAAAAGTATTAAATATTTTTTAAATAGTGTATTATCTGTCTTTTTTTTCAGCCTGTGTTTAGGTTTGTGTGGTATGTGAAAAACTAGAAAGAGCTGATATGTAAAGAGCTTCCTTAAAGAGATAGGCCTTACAGCCATCTGTGATGTGGGTTTGTTCTTGTTGGGCTGATCTGCAATCCTTCAGATACTTCAGAGGTAGTTGTCCATTCACCCAACTGCTGGCTTTTGAGTTTAAACCTTAGTGCTTTAAAGGTTTATTTTCAAGTATGTAGAACATTTCCTCTATGTTATTACAGTTTTCTGCTTTGCAGAAAGTAACTACATATGCAGCTTTTGTAAGACTGCTTGAAAGAGTGACTTTTGATCTTTAAAAAACTGTACATGCAAAGTAACTCTTAATGGCCTTTGGACGATCTAGTAGCCAAACTGCGCGCAGGAGGTAGGGTTGCGAGTGCTCTCAGGCTCTGGGAATGGCATTTAGAAAACACAGACCAGGGAGAGAGCTGGTAATGAAAGAGCAATGAGAGTGTATAGCACTTGTGCCTGAAAGCAGAGGCCCAGCTTGGCTTACATAAATGGAGAAGAAATGAAGGAAAGATCCCGCAGTCTCTTGGTGTGACATGCTACTGAGATTCAGAATCATGGCCTTGCCTATACAAGGAGTAGCAATAATCATGTGGCCAAAATGCAGAATGAAAATAGGCTAAGCTGTAGTTTGGGCCTAGGTAGGCAGCCCTAAGTGAGTCTAGGCCAAAGGGATTCAAAGTTCCAGCAGGGAAATGCATTAAGGGCCTTCCCCTTCCTCCCTGGAGAGAGTATCCAGCTAGACTAAGGCTCCAGGAAAGACTTCCATGTAGTGATGAAGGAAGTTCTGGTAAGGGAACTCAGCCACATGAGCCAGCTGGAGGGAACAAATTGTGGGAAGCCAAGAGATACCAGAGGTCACATCTGCACTGTCCTTCCATCTTGGAGGGGCTAAATGGAAAAAAGCCTAAATATTAAAGAAAAGGGCAACTTGGTGGTAAAAAAGGTATGATCAGATGAATTTTTATCTTGAATTTTTGCTAGGTCTATAGGCAAGGAAAAAGAGCAGATCATATTCCATACAATTATTTGTCAGAGGGTTGTACCTTTGTTTCCTTCCTCTTCTTTTTTTTCAGGTCCATGGAAAGAAAAGGCATATGAACAAGTGCATCCTCTCTCTTAGAGACCTTAAAGTGGCTGTTGTAGAGGAAATACAGTGCCTGGTACAAGAACTGAAGAACATTCAGTCGACTCTTCATGTATCCAAGCACATACCCATTCCCAAAATTCCTCAGATACACCCAGAAGAAGTTCCAGAAAAGAGATTTCAATATGACGAAGAAACTCTCCTAAATTTTGAGCAACAGCGTATGAAAAGTATAGATGCAAAGTCCCCCCAAGTGGAACAGACAGGGTCTGGAGGCCCAGGTGGAGGATTCCTCAAGCTCTCTTCTGGAAAGAATGGGGATTTGACAACCCGAGATTCAATATCTAGGTCATCAAGGGCATCTACATTCAGCCTAGATATACCAAAGTTTATGGAATTCGAAAAGGCAGAGCCAACGGATGTGGAGCTGGAAATTATGAAGAGGGATGAGATTAAACATGTGTACATGCAACAGTATTTGGTCAACAGGGTAAGGGGTGTTCCTAGTTATAGCTGAAAGAGAGAAGATAAGGGGAAAAATTGTGTCTGGTTTTTTTTGTTTATTTATTTTAAATTTCTCTACATGAACCTTTCCCAAACCCTGACCAGCTCACCACTCAGTGATGGCTTGGCTTCTTCCCCATCCTTGGCCTTCTGGAAATCATTGTGCTCTTCCCAGAACTACAGAGCTTTCAAACTTTTTTGTTTTGTTTTGGAAAGCTGACCAAGAGTGAAGGGCAAGCCCATGTTTTAGTTACTTGGCATCTAACTGAAGTCATCATAAAGGGGAAGTGGGGGAGCAGCTTTTAGATGATGGATGGAACATACTTAAAAATTTTCCAGGGAAACAGGGCACCCTCTGCTTTTCACACCATCCTTTGTCTCTAATATGTGGTTTGTTCCATTAGTAGAAGTGTTTATGGTGATTACTGGGGTTGAGATTGTTCTAGAGCTGGAATGGCAACTATTTTTATTTCTAGGAAAATCAGGAGTAGACTAGGGCCTGTTGGACGGGATGTTCTTTGATTGTGAAAGAACCTTTCTTGGATAGAGAACTCTCTGCTGCCACCATGTGGAGTCCCCTTCCTCAGTGGGTCTTTCCAGCCCTACCCTGCAATGACACCATCAATAGCTTGCCGGATATCTTCTTCACCATTATCTCTTCTTTGTCCAGTCCTGTTTTCTCACCATTCTTGCCTCTCTCCACTTCACCTTTTCCTCCCACACCTTTCTGAGTTTTCTATCTGTGCTTTTTCCTTTGCTATTTCCTTCTACCTGCAATGACTTCCTTCCAGAGCTGAGTTATCATTCAAAGCATGGCCCGGCTCCAAACCTCCTCCAGCATGTTCCACCCACATTACATATGCCCTCTTTCTTTCCAAACTCCAGTTTCACCTGTAATAAGCATCTCATATTTTACACTAATTTTCTTTGCTGCTTCATGGGTATTAGTTTTATCTTGAAAATTAAATTATGCAATCCTTTAAGTAACAGGCCACATAGACTTCTTCTGATTCCTCCACGTTGTCTAGGACAATGTCAAACATATCATAGATATTCAGTCAAAGATTTTGATTGATTTAATTGTAACTAATTTATCAATTTAACAAATATTTATTGGGTGTTCTATGTGCAGCGAGAGTGATAGATAGGATTAGGGATACAACAATACTTAAAGACATGTTCTCAATCCTCACAAAGCTTATGGGCTATTGGGGTTAGAGAGAAAAAGCAAGTGTAATCCTTACAGACTTGGGGACCTATTCGGTTTAGTTTAAGAATGGTGTTGCACTGAAGGAAATATAGGCCTGCCTCTAAATAAATTCAGGAATAATTCAAGTTTGTTAAACAAGCTTTAAAGGGGAGCCCAAACATATAGTCTATAGCCATAGTTACATAAAAGTTTAGTTTTTCCTTCTGTCTCTGCGTTTTTCTCTTCAGCTCTTTCAATTTCTCTAGTAGTTTCACTCCTCCAAACCCACATCTCTTTCTCCCCTCAGCCCCAGTCTGAGGCCTCACTTACTATAGGCTTTTGACAGTTGAGGCCACCTATCATATACAAACTAGTGAAAAATACAGAATGGTTTGTCTCTTCCTATTGTTCTAGTTTCCTCAGGAGAATCAGTCCTTGGGGCTCTCTCTTGGCCTCTTCATCTCCTTTGTGATGCTGCGGGGGAATATCTGTACCAAAATCAGAACAAAACTGAGGACTAAAAATTAGTAGGACCATAATGAAATAAGGTCTGGACCAGGACTTGGGATTCTTAAGTTCTTATCAGGAAAACTACCTTTGACCTTAATTACTACAATCTTATAAAAAGATTGAACAGGTTTTTTGTGGCTCCATGATTATTTTATCTATTTAAAAATATTTACCATTCTGTAGGTTTGAAAATGTTCAACATAAGTTGAGAAACGTATTTATTTGTGCTTACTATATAAAAGGGAATGCAGATACTGTGGAGGATGAAGAGGAGACAGAAACACTACCCATTCAGACAGCTCATAAGCTACACAGTACAGCAAGAAGGGCATTCTTGATTGATGGCTTAGTCAGTGGTCAAAAAATAGCTGGAAGGACTATAGTTACAGAATTCCTACCACTTAAGTTATGTAAATTTAATATTATTAATGAAATTATTTCTGTGACTCCATACACACACACTCCTCCATCCACGAGAGGACATAACAAAAAATGGTTTCACTTTAGCACTATTAGATAGTTTAAAAATGCATTTATCGAAGTCTTCCAATATATCCTCAAATCTTTTTTCCATCTCAGATCAAAGAACTGATTGTCACTTTTGATGCAGAACTCCGTCTTCTTAGACATCAGAAACTGAAACTAGATACTCAGATGAAATTATCTGACCTGCACCACGTCACCTTATTTCAAGAAATGCTTCTCCTGAAGAATTTTGAAAAGCAAGAGAACATACTTCAAGAGCGTGTTAATTCCTTAGAAAAAGAGGAACAGTACATGCAAGTATGAGTGGGAAGAAGAAACTTAGCTGGCTACTCCCTCGGTTATGGAAAAACTTGATTTCTTTTTCTTCTTAACTCAATTTCCCCCTTTTTCTAGCCCTCATCTCTTTCTTGTCTTCTTTCCCCTCCTCCTTTTTCCTGTTATTCCTATCTACTCTCCATCTTTAGTATTCATGGTCAAAGAGAAATGATTCAGATTTTTTAGTGAATTGGGTCTGATACTCTGTAAGGTAGAGTAAAATTTTCAAAAGTGAGCCTTTGATTGTGCCACTTTACTCCAGCCTGGTGGGCTGGGCTCCCTAAAAAAAAAAAAAAGTAAGGTATTATATAAAATTGTGTTTTGATTATATGTTGCCCTTATGAAAATAATTGAAAAAGAAGCTGGTGAGTTTCGTAAGTATGATAGCTTCAGTGTAACATGTGATTGAATATCATAATAAACGAGGTTCCTTTATTTGTTATATTTATATATTACATTTAAATTATACTAGCTTTGTTTTAAAAGAATAAAACAAAGCTATTAAATAGATACTATATGCTAAATAATAACATCCTTTTTAAGGTATATTAGCTTCACTAGAAATTATATGTATCTTTGTTTTAGTTGTATAACAGTACAAAATCTTTTGTTTTTGAGACCACACATGCAAAAATATTAGCTGACATCCACATGTCACAAAAAAATTAAATTTAATGTAGATTTTGGGGGAAAGCTTAGCACTAAAAAGCTGATCTTTCTAATTCTGAACTTAACTGGTATTTACAAAGGAATTATAAAATTTTAACCAATAAATGGATGGCTCTGCAAACATCAGAAATAAAACTTTTTTTTTTTTTTTTTTTTTTTTTTTTTTTTTTTTTTTGAGACGGAGTCTTGCTCTGTTGCCAGGCGTGGCACGACCTTGGTCACTGCAACCTTCGCCTCCTGGGTTCAAGCAGTTCTCCTGCCTCAGCCTCCCTGGTAGCTGGGATTACAGACATGTGCCACCACACCCAGCTAATTTTTGTATTTTTAGTAGAGACAGGGTTTCACCTTGCTGGCAGGATGGTCTCGATCTCCTGACCTCATGATCCATCCACCTTGGCCTCCCAAAGTGCTGGGATTACAGGCGTGTGCCACCATGCCTGGCCAGAAATGTAAACTTCTTTTAAGAAGTTTTAAAAAAAATATTTTGTTAACTGTAACCTTGCATTGTAAAGCACATAGCTCTCTGAACTTGGTTTATCAGAAATATTTATCATTTGTCATTATTTTTATTCATTTAGTGGAAAATAAACGAAACTCTTAAGGAGATGGAAGAGAAAAAGAATGAAATCACCAAACTCCAGGAGCAAGAAAAGGCACTCTACGCTGGTTTTCAAACAGCCATTGGAGAAAACAATAAATTTGCAAACTTCCTCATGAAGGTTCTAAAAAAGAAGATTAAACGGGTAAAGAAAAAAGAGGTTGAAGGAGATGCTGGTTTGTATTTCTTTCTTGCGTATGATCCTATTTTCTCTCATTAACATGAAATAGAGAGTAACTAAGGGACCTATTAGATACCCTGTTTTCTTCACTGTAACACAGACAATGTAGAGACACTGTAGGGGTTAAAGAGGAGAAGACATAAACCTTAAGGTCTTCAAACACCTGGAGTTAATTTTGTGTGTGTGTGTGTGTGTTTGCACATGTATGCATGTGTTTTTGTGTGTCTGGTATGAGTTAGCATAGTGTAGTTTAAGTTAATAAGCACATCTTTTATGTGTTTATTTGCCATATGTATATCTTGTTTCGTGTAATGTCTCCTTTTGCCTGTGTTTCAATAGGATTGTTTGCTTTACTGTTGAATTTTGAGAATTCTTTATATATTCTATATATTAGTGCTGTGTCAGATATGTGGTTTGGAAATATTTTTTCCTTGTGTATAGCTTGCCTTTTCATTTACTGTAGTATCATTTGTTGAAAAGGTTGTCTCTCTTCAGTTGAATTGCTTTGACCTTTGTCAAGATCATTTGGGCATCTTTGTGTGGATATTTCTTGGTTCTGTATTCGGTTCCATTGATCTATATGTCAACCTTTTCACCAATACTACAGTCTTGATTATTGTAGCTACATATTGAGCCCTTAAGTCAGGTAGACTAATTCCTCCTACTTTATTATTCTTTTGCAAAATTGTTGTAGCTGTTCTAGCTCCTTGGTATTTCCATATTTTAGAATAATCTTGTTTATATCAATAAAAAATCTTGTTGGAAATTTGATAGTAATTGTGTTAAAACTGTATATTTAATTGGAGACAACTGGTATCTTTACTACATTGAGTTTTCTATTACAAGGCACAATATGTCTCTTTATTTATGCCTCAGTTTCTTTGATCAAAATTGTATATAGTTTTCAATATGTAATTTGTTTTGTTAGATTTACACATATTTCCTTTATTAGTGATTTTAAATGATACTGTATTTTTAATCTCAATATCCTCCTGTTCATTGCTACTAATAGATTTTTACATGTTTAGCTATATCCTGTAACCTTACTTATTACTTCTAAGAGGTTTTGGTAGATTCCTTGGGAATTTCTATGGAGATGATATTATATTGGTGTAACAGTAGTTGTGGTTTTGGACATTACTTTTAATAATGGCAAAATAATTTCACCTAATAATTTCATCTTATAAATAATAAAATGCTGGCAGTTTCATTTATTTCTGATCAGTATGCCTATTTCATTTTCTTGCCTTATTGCATGGCTAGAACATCCAATACTATTTAAATAGAGTGCTGAGAGCTGAGCTTCTTGCTTGATTTTCAATATAAAGTATAATATTACCTGTAGGTATGTTATAGATACTCTATTAAGTTGCGGAAGTTCCTCTCTGTTCCTCTTTTTCATGAATTTTTATCATGAATGGTGGTGGAAATTTGTCAGATGCCTGTCTATATTGATTGATGATCGTGTGATTTTCTTTTTAGCTTGTTAATATGGTACATTACATTGGCTGATTATGGATTATTAAATCAGAATTGCATTTCTGAAATAAACCTTCCTCGGCATAGTGAGAAATCCCTTTTATATATTGATGACTTCTATTTGCTAATATTTCTTTAAGAAATTTTTTCTCTGTATTCATCAAGATTATTTTTCTGTAGTTTTTCTTTTTTGTACTGTCTTTTTCTGGTTTTAGTATCAGGATATACTAGCTTCATAATGTGAATCAGAAAATTTTCCTTTCCATTTGATTTTCTGGAAATCTTGTGTTGAATTGGTGGTAATTATTCTTTAAACATTAAGTAGAATTCTCCAGTATAAGTATTTGGACGTGAAGATTTCTTTTGGGGGAGTTTTTAAACTACAAATTCAACTTTCTTAATAGTTATAGTGCTGTTCAAATGATCTATTTCATATTGGGTGAGTCATGGTAGTTTGTGGGTTTTTTTCAGAAGTTGGTATATTTCATTTAAGATGCCAAATTTATGCATGAATAGCCTTATCTTTTTAGTGTCTACAGGTCTGTAGTAATATTACCTGTTGCATTCTTTTTTTCTAAAAAAAAAAACATCTTTTATTTTAAATACAGGGGGCACATGTGAAGGATTGTTACATTGGTATATTGCACCCAGATAGTGAGCATAGTACCAAATAGGCAGTTTTTCAACCAATGCCCCCCTTCTTCCCTCACCACTCTAATAATCTGCAATGTCTAGTGTTCCCATGCTTATGTCCATGTATGCTCGATGTTTTTCGCTCTCACTTATAAATGAAAATATGTAGTATTTGGTTTTCTGTTCCTGTGTGAATTTGCTTAGGATGATGGCCTCCATCTCCATCTATGTTTCTGCAAAGGTCATGATTTCATTCTTTTTTATGGCTGTGTAGTATTCAATGGTGTATATGTAGATTTCTTTTGTCCAATCCACCATTGATAGGCACCTAGGTTGATTACATGTTTTTGCTGTTGTGAATAGCATGGTGTTGTGGTTTGGCTGTGTCCCTACCCAAATCTTATCTTGAATCGTAGTTCCCATAATCCTCACATGTCATGGGAGGGATCTGGTGGGAGGTAATTGAATCATGGGGGCGGTTACCCCCATACTGCTATCCTTGTGATAGCGAGTGTGTTCTCATGAGATCTGGTGGCTTTATAAGGGGCTTCTATTCACTCCTTCACTCTGCACTTCTCCTTCCTGCTGCCATGTGGAAAAAGGCATGTTTGCTTCCCCTTCTACCATGATTGTAAGTTTCCTGAGGCATCTCCAGCCATGCTGAGTTATGAGTCAATTAAACCTCATTCCTTTATAAATTACTCCATCTTGGGTATGTCTTTGTTAGCAGTATGAGAACAGACTAATGCACATGGCAGTGAACATGAGTGCACATGTCTTTTTGGTATAATGATCTATTTTCCTTTGTGTATATGCCCACTAATAGGATTGCTGGGTCAAATGGTGGCTCATTTTTAAGTTGAGAAATCTCCAAACTGCTTTCCACAGTGGCTGAACTAATTTACATTCCCACCAATGTTGTATAAGTGCTCCCATTTCTCCATAGCCTTACTAGACTCTTTTTTTTGTTTTGTTTTTGACTTTTTAATAATAGTTATTCTGAGTGGTGTGAGATGGTATCTCACTGTGGTTTTGATTTGCACTTCTCTAATTATTAGTGATGATGAACAGTTTTTCGTGTTTGTTACCTGCTTGTATGTTGTCTTTTGTGTAGTGTCTGTTCATGTCCTTTGCCCATTGTTTAATGAAGTTATTTGTTTTTTGCTATAGATTCTGGATATTAGTCTCTTGTTGGATACATAGTTTGTGAATATTTTCTTCCATTCTGTAGGTTGTCTGTGGCTAGCCAGTTATCCCAACACCATTTATCGAATAGGAACTTCTTTCCCCATTGCATGTTTTTGTCAACCTTGTTGAAGATGATTGTAGGTGTACAACTTTATTTCTGAGTTTTCTGTTCTGTTATTTTGGTCTATGCATCTGTCTGTTTTTGTACCAGTACTGTGCTGTTTTGGTTACTATAACTTTGTAGTTTGAAGTTAGGTAATGTGTTGATGCCTCCAGCTTTGCACTTTTGCTTGGGATTGTGTTGGCTATTTGAGCTCCTTTTTGGTTACATACAAATTTTAGAATAGTTTTTAGTTTTTTCTAGTTGTGTGAAAAATGATGTTCGTAATTTGATAAGAGTAGCATTGAATCTATAGATTGCTTTGGGGATATGGCCAGTTTGATGATATTGATTCTTCTTATCTATGAGCATGGTATATTTTTCCATTTATTTCTGTCATCTCTGATTTCTTTCAGCAGTGTTTTGTAGTTCTCCTTGTAGAGATCCTTCACCTCTTTGATTAACTATGTTCCTAGGTATTTCATTTTTATTGTCACTATTGTAAGTGGGATTATGTTCTTTATTTGGCTCTCAGACTGTATGTTATTGGTGTATAGAAATGCTGCTGACTTTGTATTCTAAAACTCTGCTAAAAATATTTACTGGTTCTAGTAGCTTTTTCATAATCTTTAGGGTTTCTAAACATAGAATCATATCAGCAAAGAGAATTAGTTTGACTTCTTTTCCAATTTAGATGCCTTTTATTTCTTTTTGTTGTCTGATTGCTCTGGCCAAGACTTCCAGTACCTTGTTGAATAGAATGGTGAGAGTGGGCATTCTTGCCTTGTTCCACTTCTCAAGAAGAATGTTTTCAGCTTTTGCCCATTCATAATGATGTTGGCTATATGGGTTTGACATACAGAGCTCTTAAAATTTTGGGATCTGTTTCCTTGATGCCTAGTCTGTCAAGGATTTTTATCATGAAGGTATGTTGGATTTTCTTGAAAACCTATTCTGCGTCTATTAAGATGATCACACCTTGCTTTTAATTTGGTTTATATGCTGAATTACATTTATTGATTTATGTATGTTGAACCAAGCTTGCATCCCAGGAATAAAAGCCTGTTTGGTCATGGTGAATTAACCTTTTGATGTGCTGCTGGATTTGGTTTGCTTGTATTTTTTTGAAGATTTTTGCATCTATGCTCCTCAGGGATATTAGCCTGAAGCTTTATTTCTTCATCATATCTCTGCCAAATTTTGATATCAGATGATTCTGGTTTCATAGAATATTTTAGGGAGGAATTCCTCCTATGATGGTATCAACTTAATTGGATTGAAGAATTCAAAGTATCAACCCTGCGCATGTCTGTGAGGGTGCTCCCAAAGGAGATTAACATTTGAGTCAGTGGGCTGGGAAAGGCAGACCCAATCTTAATCTGCCTGGGTACCATCTAATCAGTTGCCAGTATGGCTAGAATATAAAGCAGGCAGAAAAATGTGAAAAGACTAGACTGGCCTAGCTTCCCAGCCTACATCTTTCTCCCATGCTAGACCTTTCCTGCCCTTGAATATCAGACTCTAAGTTCTTCAGTTTTGGGACTTGGACTGGCTTTCCTTGCTCCTCAGCTTGCAGACAGCCTATTGTGGGACCT